ACCGTTATAATACCAATCTTAACGGTGCGTAAAATCAGAAGGCAAAGAGAAGTGGCAGCTACGGTTTATTGTCAAATGACGCAGACCAGAAAGTTATAAGCACATGATCAAATATCAGCAAGCAAACAAAGATGACACGCATCGGAGATGGCGGATAAGGCAACTCACTTTAACCAAGCGTTAATCAATATTTATAGTCAGATAAGAAGTTACAGACATGTGATGAATAAGATAAAAAGTGTACACACACGCTCATATGAAAAGTAGTCAGGGTTAATAAGCGAATGGTTAACAAGGTCAAAACATAGCTCAAGATGGATAGGTAAATTGGCTTATCCAAAAGCTAGAATAAGGGTATATAGGCTTAACATATCAACTGATATTACAAATGGAATTCCTTCATCCAGAAAAGTAGTCACAGAAGTATCAAAAACTCTAGTAAACCAGAAGGTTCATCTTAGTCAATCATCAGTGACTAAAATAACTCAGCGATGATATTTTTAATTGTGACACTGAGTCAAGTAAGTTCAAATCCCGTTCAAAGTTCTGGTTATCATAATTTAGTATGTACGCTCTTCTGATAAGTCTTAAACGGGTACTGAATTCCAATTCATAGATTTCTGATGACTACTTCAATAAATCCAACAATTACAACAGGCAAACAATTTATTGTATATTTGGTCTAAGTGCTGTAAAGGTTTACAAAAATTTCACTAAAATGATAAAATAAACGATTTATATATTCTTTATGAAATCCTGGAATATATAAATATTGAATAAAATAAAGCAGTTTTTACAGTGTTATGCCACACATTCTTAGTATTCTAAAAATGTAATGTCGTATTGTAGTGAACAAGAACACGGGTGGAGGCAATCGAATATATTTGTCACGAAGACTACATACTATTTCACTAAAATCTGACAACCATACAGTATTCAGTTAGTTTGCAAACTATCAATCAATTGTCTCAATCTTAGCTGTTTCTTCTGCAAATATCAGTTCATGGTCTCCGATCATTATTGTTCATGCACTTTCATACCAATTGCGTCTCGTTCCCATTCTCTCCTTATCGATCTTTTACTGAAATACATTCAATGCCCGACCATCGTTATATACAACATGTGCGGATATAAGCAACCCACACCACAGTATTATTAAAGGAAGTAACATGCATTATAAGATTTTTCTAAATAAAAAGTAACACTGACAACCTTTAGTTTGAAGCCTTCCTAAATAAATTTATGTAAATTATCGTTAATTTTAACAAAATGATCAATCTCTAGAGCTCCTTAGGAGTCATCGGCCTCGTGACTTCCGAATAATCTCGGCTTTCATCATGAGACGTCATAATACATCCTTCAACTTCCAGAGCAGAGTTTAAATGGTTTGAATTATTTTTTCTGGTTAGCGTTTTTTTAGCGAGTTAGTTTTCTACGGGATAAGGTCGCTAATCCCATGCCCAACGCTCCTCCTTTACCTGGGCTTGGGAACAGCAGTAACTCTAAAAGAGCTTCACAGGTTTGAATATAATTCCTATCATGAAGTATCATTTAAAAATGATGCTGTAAACTAAAAAACTTTTCTCCAGTAGAGTATTGATAATGTTTACTGAGATGTTACAAATTTATCATACTATTGAATAGTGTTTTTTTAGATTTTAGTTTATGCATTTTATTGTTCTGTAAGATGTCAATTCACTTACCATATACCTATCCTTCATTATGAAAAGAAGAAGAATTTCAATCATTAAATTTACAAAAAGATCATTTTTTTCTTTGTCAATACAGTACAAGATTCTTCATAGATTTAAACAACTGACATCTTTGAAATAAAACCGACAGAATACCATTCATAATTAAATCCGATTATAGATAGAGATACCCTTTATTATAAAATGTCATTTATATAAACTGAAAGGTATTCATTCTTAAAATAAATCTAAATAAATGTGTAGGTTTTAAATTTATAAAACTAAAAGGCCGTCCAGTGCTTCCAGGTTTTCTATGGTAGTCTAACTTCAACTGACTCATGATTTCAACTATATTACTTACTTACTTACTTACGCCTGTTACTCCCAATCGAGCATAGACCGCTGACCAGCATTCCCCAACCCACTCTATCCTCGCCCTTCCCTTCTAGTTCTATTTAGTTTTTGTTCATTCTTCTCATGTCTGTCTCCATTTCTCGGCGTGCTGTGTTCTTCCGTCTTTCTCTTCTCCTTTGTCCTTCAAGATTCCATGTGAGGTCTTGCCTTGTGCAAAGTTGAGTGATTTCCTCAATGTGTGTCCTATCCACTGCCTGCGCTTCTTCCTGATTTTAAAATGTTTATCTGAATTACTTGGAAAATATATGATATATCTTTGAAGGTATTCAATATTATACATAAGTATATCTTTACTCCAAGAAGAAGTTTCTGATGACAATGAGATATTTTTCTCAATTCATTAAAGTTTAACGTTAACATACTGTGAAGCAGCTTACATCTATGATTGGTTTAAAATACAATTAAGCGTCATTCAATGTATACTTAAGTTCTTTGTGGTAGAATGACGATAAAAGTTTATACGAGGTAGTAAGGCAATTGCCGTTAGATATAAGTTGTGTGATGGTTAAGTTGTTCATTGAAGACTTTGAAAATGTTTATGTCCTGTGGATTATAGAACGCAGCTTGAAATCGCTCAAGCTATAAGACTCAAATTTTAGTTTTTCTGAACGTTTAAGATGGATTCTTTGATTAGGTTGTACGTGCTGTATAGAAGTATGTCTTACACTTAAATTATGCATTACCCATTCACAGATCTATTTTATTCCCTTTAGGAATTGGTTTAATAATTCAATAAGACGATCTCAGATTATGACTTCACTCAAAAGGTAAATAACCTGACGAGATAAATAGTTCTATTAATGAAAGATATCATGACGATCGTAGCTAACAAATGAAGTAGACTAACCGCCTATCCAATAAGTTTGTTTCTGCATAAAACTCCTCCAAATTTTACCTATAATAATTTAAGGTTCATTTGAAATCTAGTGTGAAAATACACTTTTATATGTTAAATTTGTGAGCTTTATTTTGAACAAGGAGCTTTATTACCTGTATTATAAGACCATTAGCCTATTCAGTAAACTAATCTGTTGAAATTGATTCTCCTCTATAATAAGTTTGAAATTCCGTTAGTTATATCAAGTAATTGATCACTGAGTAGTAACCAATGCTGTATTTGTCTAGTCCTTTAATACTGATGAATGTTATCAATCAAGTTGTCATGCAGTCACTAGTCTAAGTAACTCGACATCGTGTCCCTCACGATGAGATATTTTATGGTCGAAGTTAGTTTACAGGAATCTTTGGACCTATGTTTCCTACTATTTTGCACTCGTCAGTAAAAACACCTGTAATCTTATGGTAACTGGTGGATTAAATCTGAGTCGTTAAATAGTTCAATGGAAAAATTTTACACTGTGAAGCTAGGTGGTGTGGTTTGAAATACCAAATGAGGCATAGTTCTCTTCAAGATTGCAAGTACACCTCGCTTACAAATACCAAATACTATGAAACCTTGGTTAAATGTTTCCTGTAAACTTATTCTAACCACTTAACATACTATTTAGGTCAACAGGTTTTGTTGCGAAATCGAGTTTTACCGAATCACATTTGCTCACGTGCATAATATGGTCACTCATCACACACCTCAAATCTAATTACATGAAAGTTTATTTCACTAGCTATTTAAAAAAAAACTGTTTTCTTTGATATAATGAAAACATCATAAATCCCATGTAGTCAGCTTTGGGTCATACATTTTGTCCAGCTACGCAGACGATAACAGGTAGAGTAGGGTATATAAAGACTACTACGCAGCATAGGGAACGATATCACCAGTGTGAACAACTAAATACATTTAAGTACAAAATTACAGAATATATTAGTAAAATCTGAAAACCATACAGTAAATACTTCATTTTTTTAAAAATCCATCAATTGTCTCAGACTTTGTTGTTCCTTCATTTCTTTATCAATAACTCTCTATACTACTTCTTTTCGTTTCAATCTTCTAAGCCTTCTGCCTCCAGGCACTTTACTTTCGATTGGTAATACATACTACTTTTATCTGTTGTTATCAGTAGCCCTCACCACACCAGTAGTTGAAGCAATCGAGTAATAATAGTTTCTATTGTTATATTAACAATCTACTATATCATAGCTTAGTATTTTCTCTCAACTTTATATACATTATGTATATCAATTCACTATATAAAATACCTACCCAAAAAACGTACTTTTTTATTACTATCATATTTTACGTTATGGAACTTATAAAATTTCAATGAACTAATTAAAAGGACACCGCTTTCCTTTTGCATATGTGTGTGTGTGTTTAGTTTCATTTTAATATATAAAAATATGAAATTTCAAGTCTAATTAAAATCCACAAGTAATGATTGAAATCAGGTAAAGACATGTATAATATAGAATAAGAGTATTAGTATTAGTCGTAGTAACAATAATGACGATAGAAATAATGGCAGTAATCAGGTAGACTTCAGTGAATATTATGAACAGTTAACGCCCTTATTATAAACGATAAGGTGAATATATATAGAAATTTTCAATTAATATCTCATAATCATGTGATTTGTTTACATGTGTTCAACCTGTGAATGAGAGTATGTGTGTGTGTGTGTGAGTGTGTACATATGTACTATTACACTCGTGCAGGAATTCATGTGTGCTTATTATTGAATCCGTGTAAAATTCAATATGTATATGTGTGCTGACACATAATTCAATAAAAAGGTATCAATAAAAGCACTAATAGTGTAACCAAAAAGTTGAAATGAGAAAAATCTTCTAATCTGGATCATGTGATATAATAATATATGTTATACCAATTAAAGACTATATGAAAGAAACTAATTGGTTCAGTATTATTGTTCGATATACATATACATACAGACATACATGTACTTACAAAAACAAATAGACTCATTCATACATGAGTACAAGATTGGAACTTACTGAGAAGTACTTCAGTTTACAAATTTACTTTTGTTTACTAACGTCAACTCATATTTTTTCTTCTTCTTCTTCTCCATAAATTAACATTTTCTTCACTATTTTTTTATTCGAATAAATAAGTTTTTTGAAAGAAAAAAGTTTCAAATTTGACGCCATTTGACTATTTATTTCATTTAAACAAATTAATTTTCCCATTTACTTTTGAAGTTACTGATTTTTCAAAAAAAAAAAAGAAAGTTTAATGTTTTGTTTAAATATGAAGAATTTCACTTTGAACATTCAATCTATATTACCGGAAATTGATTAATTATTAATAATTTGGTGAATTATCATCTTCAAAGTGAAAAAAGAATTTTTTTCTAAAAAAAACACATTAAACTCAAGATCAAATTTGAATTTTCAAATAATAAAACAAAATCATTTAAATGTCATTGAATAAATCAAATAAATCAGCTTGTATACCAGCGAATAGTAAGTTACAATTTTATATATTACTTATATTAATAAATGTTCTCGAGTTCGATTTCTGTGTCCCCTCCTCCCAGTGTATGATACTTGTTCTTAGGATTGTTAAATAACAAGCATAGATATGGTTGCATATAGTGGTCAATAAATTAGTTCTTTTTTTTTTCTCTTTTTAATATTTACTTAAACTTTAGTTTGATCTCTGCTTCCCCCCTCCCCCCCCCGCAGTGTGTGATATTTGTTTAAAGGATAATCAAAATATCTTTACAAAAAATAATTATTATGAAGACTGATAGATTGAAGGTGGTTCAAATAGATTATACTATACATTAATAAAGTTCAATCCTTGTTAGATAACAGTCCTATTTACCAAAACAGTTAATGTCATAATAGTATTATGGAGATTGTAATAATTTTATTGGTTGAATTCATGAATCGACCTACGCTAGACCACCATTGAGAACTTGGAAGCACTGGATGGTCGTTTAAGCCTAGTATCGGACTCCTCAACAGGGTGCACCCACGATCCCATATACGAAACTCAAAACTAGGACTTTCAGTGTCGTGCGCAAACGCCTAAGCTCTAGACCACTGACCTAGTCGGCGTCCAACGGTGTTAATGTCCAATTTTGGTCGATTCATGATCTTGCGCAACCCTACATTTACTGCCTGAGGGGAATAACCATCTCACACCCGAAACGAATTGGATCCCAAAAATCTCCACAAATCTTCATTCTGATAACAATCATGAGCCTACCGGGGACTAGCCTTGAGAGATAATTTCACGATCGACTCATGAATTCAACCATTAAAATCCGTCAATGGTTTACGAAACACGTAAAAAGCTGTTTTGAATATGAGGAATAGAAATCGTTATCAATAACTCCTTAGTATTTAAACAACTTGTTTTCCTATTCAATACTTTATTTAAAAACAATTTCATTAATTGATTCGTAATTGAATATAATACTAAATTGGGAAGGTCAAAAAACAATATGTATTCTAGTGTTCAATAGTTAGTTGACTTAAACTTCGATTAATGTAACAGTATTGTTTTATTTTTGGTTACTATGTCCGTGATCTTTTAATACTACTTCATTGGTTAAAAGAAATGAAACTCTATGCTTCAATTTAGATGCTTTGAAAATCTAAAAAAAATCTAATTATAAAATAATTCATCAGATGATTTAAGAAATGGAGAGAGAAAGTTTATTACATAATAAATCATGAATTGAACACGCTTTTAGTTTTTTTTGTATGTGGATGTTTTCTTTGAAAGGGTACGTTTTGTTGCTAATTCTGAACAGTTATGATCTAAAATAAACAAGATGTTACTAGGCTATATACTAATGAAAACATGTGGTTGATATTCATAATCTTATGGCGAACAAGGTGATAGGGTATCTAAGGATAATATCCAACAACCTTCATGAATTGGTAATTATTCTTTTTCGACTGTGTAAACAGTGGAATACATGTTTTCTACGATGAATCAACATTTGAAAAACTATATTTATCTGGTAAACATATTGTTCACATACGTACTTACGCCTGCCTCTCCTCAAGGATGAGCGTAGGCCGCTAACCAGCATTCTCCATACAACTCTGTCCTTGAAAATCCTTTCCAGTTCTTTCCAGTTGCTTTTCATTATTTTCATGTCTGCTTCCAATTCTCGATTCGGTATGTTCTTCGGTCTTCTCCTTTTTCTTTCCCCTTCAGGATTTCAAGTGAGCGCTTGTTTCATGATGCAATTTGTTGATTTTCGAGATGTATGTTCTTTTCACTTCCATCGTTTTTTCTTAATTTCCTCTTCATCTGGAAGCTGTTTTGTTCTCTCCCACATTAGTCTGCTGCTGATAGTATCTGGACAACGGACACTGAGCGTATATGCAGTATCTTACGTAGACAATTGTTAACTATATATTTAGTTGCCTGAAAAAGATACATAATGTATACCTCAAGTCTGTGCATCATATTGAGTGATTTTTCTCATTCTATCTATTATTCTTCTTCAGAGTGAGATGTAAACATGGGTTGTGGTTCAATTATGTAGTTGTTATCGTCATTTTATGACAAGAACATAATTTATTTTTAAAATGATCATGGTTTTAGGATAATAGAAAATATTTTATTTTTCAAGAGAATGTTTTTGAGCTGTATAGTTAGAATGTAAAGCTTTCAAAATAGTTCTACGCAATTAAAAAAGAATGTATTTGCAAAACCTCAGCGAATGAATTTGAAGTTAATTCAACGTTTCACCTGGCAATCTGGTTCAAGCGTTTTCAAAGAATTATAATCAAACATTAAAATTATCGGATTTAAATAAATACATGGTTCTCCGGTTCATTGTATACTGAATAGATCATCCAATCAACGTTAACAACGTTTAAAGCAGGTATTAATTTTAGTGTGTAAGAGTTATGTGGTGTGAAACTAAAAGTGTGTTAAGATAGCAGATTGTATGTATTCGTAAGTGGTGTAAAAAGAAATTTCATTCACTGTATATTGCCTCTGGTTGATGAATCTTTAAGCAAACGTACAATTTTTATATATAATATGAGTTAAATATGTCACAGCATGCATAAAATGAAGATAAATGAACAAAATAAAAATAAGGGAATGAACTGGATTTCACTACTAGCCACTATCCATTTCTGCTTAGAATGCTTGTGTATTAAGGCAATATCGAGTCATATATACCAATAAGAGATTGAACGATTTCAGTCGTAAACATTAATTTTGTGTTTAAATACATTCGATTGTCCCCACTTGTGTTCTCATTCACTACAGTCGAACAAACTAAAACATATGGATGTTATATAAACTTAATCAAGCCTACTGAACAAGTATTCTTTCATATTACATCATTACTTTCATATCATAATCAATGTTTAGTGATACTTTTTTTCAAATGATCAACAATTAAGATGTAGATTAGGTTGAAACTATTGTCATTTGTCTAAATATGACAAGTGGATGTTGTATTCAATATAAAATAACAGTATTCTATTTTAGTTACTTTAAAGAAATCCCACTTTATAGCAATAATTTTCTGTCAAAACATTTAGAATATATAATTGACAAATAAGTCATTATAAAGAATAACAATGATTTTTAACAAATTAAAAAATCAGATCACCGATAACCTATTCATTTTGACATTTACAGTTGATTTTAGCAGTAGAATAATAGTAAACAAAAAGAACCTTAAATTCACTTAGTATTGTTTACTTGAATTTTTCCATTAATGTTTAGGATTGAAATTAATCAGTCACTTATTGGTATATATACATACTGTGTGTACTGCCTTGATATTGCCTTAATTCACTAGCGTTCTAAGCAGAAATGGATAGTTTCTAGCAGTAGAACCCAGGAAGCATGTTTCATCCTATTTGGGACTCGTCAAACGGATGTACCTGCATCTTAGGGTTGATGTTCACTCTGAGACTCGAACCCAGTACCGTTCACTTCAAACGCCATCCTGACATTCACTTAGCTTCTGAGTCCTGATAGCCACTTGCCTGTGCTGACGAGTCCCAAATAGGATGAAATGCGCGGGCTGGATTCCACTGCTAGTCACTATGCATCTTTGCTTAAAAAGAATCCTAGTTATATTTTTATATTTACATTTTCTATAAGTTAGTGTCTCAAAAGATATGGTCATCTATTTGACAATTACTTTTAGAGCTTATACAGTTAATGAAAAAAATTAAAAGTAAATTTACTTTCTGTAAATATTGCTTAGTTGAAAGCCTTCTATGAAAGTTCATGATCACGTTCACATTTTTAAACTTCAATTTGAATGTGATTTACTAGTAATTAGTAGTACAAAATTTTTTTAATTTTCTGTGCAATGAGTATTCAACGCTAACACTGATGTTATTTTTGTCATATTCCGATGAGAATAATGAACGGTAACTGTTGAAATCTATTTCTAGACTAGTACTATACATATATTTTCATTGTTTATTTGTTAACTAACTAAACTATTCATATTCGTGTTCCTCTTATCATAAGCTTTATTTTGACCTATAGACTATTATTATACGATTTACCATCCATGAGTTATCCCCAGTCTATCAATTACTGTTTCCCCTATTCACAGCCACATTTAGCTAAATCTTGTACAAATGTTATTTTCTATTTTATGGTACGATGTGGTCTGTCTGGTTGGTATATAACCTCAGTATGTTTGAGAATAATGATTTACATTGCAGAGGCTGTTATTAGTGTTCTGGACTTAACTGGCTTGGCTAGGCAGAAAGTAGAACTGATAAGTACTCAAGACTGCTCATACGGCTTTTGTGTATCATTGCTCTGATCGATAATTCAGTGCTCTCTGATTAGCGGTCTTATCACTCATATTTATTAACAGGGCACGCACTATCTCAATATAACAATTTTAAAGACGTTGCATCATGAGGTAGTATTATTTGGGAAATCAGAGAAAATCAGAAGACCACGTGAGTTCATCCAAATGAAGCGTATGGAAAATATCAATAGTCTTAATAAATGCTGGTCACACAATACCAGGAATTGAAAGACTCAGCTGTCTGTCCACCACAAAGCCTGAGGGTCCCATGTCTGAATGGCGTTGTGAATGCGTATCGCTGAAGCAAGGGACAATAATTTTAACGTGAATTGTTTACCACACATAGACTTGTGTACCCAAATATGAACCGTAGTATTTGCCTAACAATTGATAACACTAAGTACATAAACTACAGTCCAAAACTGGAGGTCCCATTAATAAAAAACACACTGATTCTAGGTTTAAATAAATAACTAATACTTGGAATTAAATTAAAATGTCACATTACAATTTTTTTTAATTTTCATCAGTACATACCTTTTATTTCAATGTTACACATCTACATTTTTCCCCTTCTTTTTTCCTCAGTTTACTGTGAGTATACTCACGATCGATATCAAGATGAAGGACTTCGTCTACTAGAAAAATATTTACCATATTTAAATCCAGAAACTGGCTTAAGAAATCGAAGTTAGTCATTTGTTTAATAAATATTACAAATATTTAAATTCACTTAGTTTTAATTGTTTGAATCTTCCCATTGATGTTTAGGATTGAAATCGGTCAGTCAGTTTCTCATTGGCATATGTGCATACTGTGTGCACTGCCTCAATATAACCTAAATTCACAAACACTGTAAGCAAAGATGTATGGTTACTGGTAGTGTAATTAAATTTGACGCGCGTTTCGTCCTATTTGGAACTCGTCAGCTGGATGTACCTGCATCTCACAGTTGATGTTCACTTTGGGAATCGAACCCAGTACCTTTCGCTTCAAACGCCATCGCCTTATCCACTCAGCTACTGAATCCTGATAGCCACTTGCTTGTGTAATGGGGTAAAGTTTAAATTCACTTAGTATTGTTTGTTTGAATCTTCCCATTGATGTTTAGAACTGTAACTGGTCAGTCTCTAATTGGAATATATGCACACTATGCGTATTGCGAAAGGAACCGGGTTAGAGTCCCAGAGTGAATGCCAACTCTGAGATGCAAGTACATCCAGTTGACGAGTCCCAAATAGAAAGAAACGCGCGTCTTAGATTCCACTGCTAGCCACTATTCATCTTTGCTTACAATTACCTATATTTATTGATGAAAATATAAATCCATTTTTAAGTTCTTGATATCTATAACTTTTTCACATGATATACAATATCAGTGATGTATGTAAAACTACTCAATTATTTCAGTCACATTTATCCTGTCACTTTTTTGACATGTTCAACTATACTATTATCTATAGTTACTTGGTCATGAACATTATATTTCCAAATATTTGTATAACACTTTCTTCGAACTTTAATGGAATCATCAAATGAGTTGTTTGTTTGTTTGTTTTCACACAAATTAGATAGGATGTTTAAATTACTGAGCATAGATATTTGTTGCTATGTATATAAACAAACATACATCAATATATACGGTCACGTGTATACAAATATATACATTCATAAGAAAGAAACTTTCTTGAGATTATTAGACAGTTAAGTGTATTTTAGGAATTTATTATTGGAGTAAACGATTTAGTTACATGTGACATACAATTGTGGGTTTATGCATAGGTATGTAATTTGACTGTGTTCTTTAAATACTGCTTATCGACCAATTTAATATCTAACATAAATTCACTTTCATTAACGGTTACATAAAAATTACCCAAGTCAGCTGAAATATAAACCTTTCGGATAATAGTGAAGTTAATGGAATCTATTAGTTCCTAAGCATTTGGGTAATATTTCAAATTCTAAAAATTTTTTTTTGTGTTAATGCAAAATGCATTTTTATAATCTATTGCTTTGAGGAATGAATTTTCTTTTTTTCTGTGAGAGTAAATGAAATACCATATAAAATGAATTTAAAAGTGTTGTTAATCATATCACTTTTAACCAATGATTTGAAATTATGGAAATATTGAAATCACCACAAAACCTCTTCTAATCACAATCATACGCTCACTAGTGACTCACTTCAAGAGATATTTCCTTGAGTTCTATTGAGAATCAGTGACCAGTGGAGTTTAACCACGTTTGTTGTGAGATAACAACTCACTGAAGACAATTGGTGAACGGTTGCTCAAATTTCGTGAATTGGTTGGAGCTGGACATTAACACCATCGGATGCCGGCTCAGTGGTCTAATGGTTAAGCGCACTGGCTCGAGACTGATAGGTCCTAGGTTTGAATCTCACGAGGCAGGATCGTGGGTGTGCACTGCTGAGGAGTCCCACTTAAGACGAAACGGCCATCTAGTGCTTTCAGGTTTTCCATAGTGGTCTAGCTTCAATTGACTCATGACTTCAACAATGAAAATAATAAAATCGTTTATTTAAAATAATATACGATTTTGTCGTAAAAGGTGTTTGTTTAAAGAAACAGATTGTTCAATCAACGATTATTTGTATTACTGTTCTCTTCTACTCTATATAGTAATTATTTATTCTCACTAGATTTTAGATAAAAACTGTAACTAAAAAGCAGTGTAGTTTTGCTATATTTAAAGTTGTTTTATTAGGTAGTTGGTTTCAAGTGCACGTAGGAAATTATCACTTATCAATATGTAAGATAGGTTCAGTATACCTTGATAAGTGTCTGAAATGTGTAACCTTGAGATAATATAATACGATACAAAACCGTTCAGATTTGTAAGACTATTACATTACAATATAAATCGATGATGTTCAGAAATATAATTAAAACTTCACGACCAAAGTATTCAGCTTAGAGAACAAAGCTCTTTTCCATCACCTCAGATTTACTATAGCCATAAAAATATTCAAAGTAAAATTACACTTATTGATCTAAATATTAATTTAGGATAAACTTTAAATGATGGCAAAGAAACGTAAACAAATTGTCTTGATTTTGTTTCAAACAGCAACCCTTAATAAAATATGTATTCTACCATTAAGAAATGTTTTTGATGGAGTTTTGTTCTCTGAGCTGGATGGTTTGGTTGTGCAGCTTTCATAGTCCTTCTGAACAATATCATCAGAAAAAACTTCGGGTAGAGAACAATACTTCATCAAAATCATACACCTGGGCTACAAATCTTTTCCACCATCTTAAAGAAATGTTCATGTATTTTAGGGAGGACCGAACTGATGAGATAAAACTATGGAATTTAATGTTATCTTTCACACTGCATTGCAACGAAATAATAATCGATTTTAAAAGTAACTCTGTCCTGTTGATACGTTCACTGAGCCATTTCACATAACTAAATAAATGACTAATCATATCATATAGAGATGTCAATCTTCTTGATTTAGTTTTATCTTAGTGATTAGCCTTTATCCAATTATTGGTTAGCGAAGTTCATAATTTCCTTAATTCTTTCAGTGAAGACAATTAATTAGCCCAAAAACAAATTTTTGTTTCAGGAAAATGCTAGATGACTCACCTAACCACGTGACTTGACATCTTGCGATTTCATTTACTTACTTCCTTACGCTTGCCACCCCCTCGCTATTTCCTTTAGTGTTTGCGTAATGGAGGAGAAACAAAAATGAGATATTTTGGAGACGATACAACGTAAAATGATAGCGTAGCTTAATAAAAGTACAATTTCAAAGAATCATATCTTTTGTGCCAAATATACTTTTGTGAGGAATTAAAGGCTTGCAAGTCAATCTGATATATATGAGTCTAATAATGCGAGTCGTTTCAATCACAAAGAGACTGAAGTGGAAAAAATAAAAAATTTAAGCGTTATGGCTCTTCGGGAACAAGAAATTCTAAAAGAAACAAACAACTAAATTGTAAGCAAAGATGGATAGTAGCTAGCAGTGAAATCCAGAAAACGCGTTTCGTCCTATTTGGGACTCGTCAGCTGGATGTAACTGCATCTAAGAGTTGATGTTCACTCTGGGACTCGAATCCAGTACCTTTCGCTTCAAACGCCAGGCACACCCAGCTGACGAGTCCCAAATTGAACGAAACGCACGTCCTCAATTCCTCTGCTAGCCACTATCCATCTTTGCTTACAATGCTTGTGAATTTAGGCTATATCGAGGCAATACGCACAGTATGCACATAGGCCAATAAGAGACTGATCAGTTGCAGTCCTAAACATCAATGGGAAGATCCAAACAAACAATTCTAAGTGAATTTAAACAACTTAATTGATTTTCATGATACTACAGGAGATCTATTGAGGAAAATTATTCAACTTTTTTGAACTTTTCAAGTTAAGCAAACACAATTCATTTTGGTTAATTGTTAGTAACTTAAGGCAATTATATCTGCTGTATACAACTGATTTCAAATACTTCTAATAAATGAATCTGTAAATTCAACAGAATAGTTTTATCAATAACTACCTATAACTCTTCCAGATACTAGCAAACTTCTACATAAGTAGATTAATTATATAAACCAGTCATTACATATTCCGACGCTCAACACTAAAATAACCTCATCAATTTTATTAGGACATTTCGTCTATCCAAATAAACCCTAATGCATTATACTTAATGATGAAACGATGAAGGCTTCTAAAATAAACAATGGAAAACTATACTTCCTGAGAAGCTATCGACTAAAGAAATGTATTCAAGAATATAACGGAACACGCACTTTACTACAGATCGTAAATGCAGCAGTTATTCGTAAACGATAATCTACCCTGTTATTTTAATGTTTAACTGCTCTAGTTTAGTAGCGTATAATCCAGAATAATTTGTGCTACAAATGTTGATGGCTATTCTCGGTCGACGATATTTTTGAACTTGAAGTTAATTATGCGTTCATTGGATTCTCTGGTTATTATATCACCCTTTAACTCAATATCCTGGACCCAAATAATGTTTCCATTATTTGTTTTTCATCTTCAAGTGATTACTCGTGATCCCGTAACTGGCTTAGGTGATCTAGAAGCTGAATGGAATCCTCTTAACGGATGTCATTTACGTAGAAGACGTAAGTTTAGATTTTATTTCTACAGATACCCATATCACCTTGAATTCTTGAAATTTCTCTATATCTTTTGTTGATGATTCATATAAAATTTAGAAAGACACTCGATTCACTCGATTCAAGTGTACATTTTACCGATCTAATAATTTAAAATAGCTACTTCGTTATTTAATGATTCTCATTGAATTTGTAAATACATAACTGTACAAAACACAACATTCGTTGTCGAATCTGTTGGAAGTCAAGAAGTACCAGTCATCAGTATTTATATTCACTAAACATGACTCAATAACTTTGTATACTTCTGATTTCAATTCGACTTCAAAACGTTGAAAGTAATTCTTCAAAATGAACAATTGTCAGTTGTTTTATAGCCTGTAGCTTTTTTCCATCTATCCTTTTTGATGCAACAAACTTATGCTGAACATAAAATAAGTCATTTACAAATAGTCCTAGATTTTTCGCGCGAAAACATTCCCTCCCTTATTAAGTCGTTTCAAGATTATATCATTGTTTCCACTCAGACTTTCAAGGATATTTAATAAGAAAACTTACTTACTTACGCTTGTTACTCTCGATGGACCATAGGCCCCTGACCAGCATTCGCCAACCCACTCTGTCCTGGGTCTTTCTTTACAGTCCTATCCATTTTTGTTCATTCTTTTCATGTCTGTCTCTATTTCTCGGCGTAATGTGTTCTTTGGTCTTCCTCTTCTTCTCCTTTGGCCTCCAGGATTCCATGTGAGGGCTTATCTTATGACTCAATTGGGTGATTTCCTCAATGTGTGTCCTATCCACTTACAGCGCTTCTTCCTCACTTCTTCTTCCTCTGGAATCTGGTTTGTTCTCTCCCACAGTAGCTCGTTGCTGATAGTGTATGGCCAACGGATACAAAGTATTTTGCGTAGACAACTGTTAATAAACACCTGTATCTTTTGGATAATGACTTTCGTAGTTCTCTACGTCTCCGCCCCATACAGTAGAACTGTCTGGACATTTGTATTTAAAATTCTGATCTTTGTGTTGGTTGACAATTGTTTCGAGTTCCAGATGTTTTTCAGTTGTAAATATGCTGCTCTTGCTTTTCCGATCCTCGCCCTCACATCTGCATCTGATCCACCGTGTTCATGCCCAATAAGAAAACTATCTAAAATATTTTTATGACATAGTTGTTTCGATAACGGAAATAGATGACAAAATAGCTTTGAAGAAACTGCAACAAGGTTATAAGTTAGACTAACTAAATTTTCAACTTGTAATTAAATGTGCAGTTCCTGGAGTTTAGAAACGTTACAAAAAAACTTTTAACGAATTGATTAAGCCGGAATTCGAAATAAAGGAAAAGTGATTAAAGAATAATTTAATATATACCTTTCGATGAGTATTATATGACTACCTGCATTCAAGAAGTAAACGTAACATTACATATTGGGTAACAGCTCAAAAATTGGATTTAACTAGAAAGGAAGGCCCAGGACAGAGTGGGTTGGAGAATGCTGGTTGGTGGCCTATGCTCCATTGGGAGTAACAGGCGTAAGTAAATAAGTAAGTAACAGCTCACATATTTTGCTAAAAGACATGAAGGATAGTATACTGATAATCTTTGAACTGTAGAACAGTTTATATGTTTTGCCTTAATTCATAAATATGCCTTTATCAAAAACGAAATACATAATTGCGCACTTATATTAAACTACAGGAAACCATTAACTGCTATTAAATTTGAATGAAAGTCTCATTATATCACTAAATATAAATGACTGTGATAGATATGATGATCATGCAGCTCACATAAACAGAGTTTTTTGACATTATTTTGAACTTCAACTGTAGTCCTTCTATACAACCAGATCGTTTACTTTATTCTGTAGAGTTCTGAGTCCACTTTTTGAAACAAAAATAATTCCTTTCATCAGCAAGACTAAATTTAACGCAGCATTTAAACTTAGAAGAGACAACTGTTTTAAACAGATGAAACCCTAACTTTTGAATACAAAAGTGTTAGTTCTTTGATAAATTGGAAGATTAGTTTAAAAAACAAACCAATCACCTTGTGCCTATACCCTTCTGTAACATCATCTCAAGGTAAGAAGACAGAAATATGATGTTATATCTGATTGACAGTTCAGAAGCCGAACGAAATCCAAACATAAATATCATCAAAACATAAATACTTAGGACCAGACTTCATGTCAGGTACACAAGATAGCAACTATATGAATTTAGTAGCCTAGTGGATAATATGCAAGTGCTAGATACTGTTTTTGTGTGCTGGTATAAACATTATTAATGCCATTAATAATAATTAATAGTAACGAACACTGGGGCGCAAGTACATCCAACTGACCGTTCCGAAATAAAGGAACACGAGCGGCTAGGACTGCACCGCTATCCGCGGATTATAAGTAAAATGAAACTAGTAACTATAGACTATAATTAGGAATTCTCCCAGGATACATTTAGGCTATTAAAGGCCTATCACATACTATTCCCGAAACTAAACAAGAGTGGATAACAAACAACAATAATTCTACAAATATTGGTCTTACTGCTTTCATCAAATAAACCACTTGAAATAAATTGCACAAAATAACTTAATAACTCTTGCCCTTAGGTATATTTTTGTGGTTCACGCATAAAGCAAACCGTTAGTATGATTTAGGTGTTCTGTCTCCGTCTTACATGAATATAATTTACGGGGTATTGATTTACATCGAATTAAAATGTGACAATTCGGCTTAAACACGAATAGCTTTACAATAGGAGGAAGAGCAGGTTAAAATATTTTAATATTGACCATTTCTAACTATATGACATGGCTACCATCATATTACCAGAGTATTTATGTCCTGGCAGATATAACGAAAAAATTAGAACAATTTGGATGCACGGACTGAATACTGTAGTTACGTTTATATCGCTCTGTAGTTAAAAATACTTTTCGATGAGCTATTTATCCCAGAGTGAACATCAACTCTCAGATGCAGGTACATCCAGCTGACGAGTCCCAAATAGGATGAAACGCATGTCCTGAATTTCACTGCTAGCCACTATCCATCTTTGCTTATGATGCTTGTGAATTTAGGCTATATCGAGGCAATACCCACAGTATGCACATAAGCCAATAAGAGACTGATCAGTTGCAGTCCTAAATATCAATGAGAAGATTTAAACAAACAATACTGAGTGAATTAAAACATTACAGATAGTTTCAAATTAATAGAACTATGAGGATCACGAAGAGATTCACATATTACAGTAAGTGAAGTTGATGATAAACTCAACTCAAAACCATATCCGAACAAAGTGATTTAGTACCAACCGTTTCATTAGATCATAATATTTTGAGCCAAGAAATTCAACTTCACTCCAATATCACTTTAGTTGTTCAGTCGGCGACCCACTGTTATGTGAGTACAAAACCGATAAATACTCGCTTTTAGAGATTACACTGCATATGACTAAATGACAGAACTCATATTGACCTAGCTCAACTCATTCTGTTTTATTACTAAATAACATTTGTCCACACACACCTAAATTACTAATCCATAATACATTGGAAAGTAAGTGAAGTTAACATTTACAATTAATTAATCACTGAGTAAAAATCAATATCATAGTTGTCTATTCCATTAGTGCTGATAGAAATCTGTCGATCAAGTTGCAACTTGGCTACTAATATAAGTAACTCAATATTATATGCAACTTCTTTCAAAACATACTGTACCTCTAATCATATATTAAGTCAATATTGAATACTCCTAAATAAAGTTATCAATATCTGATACTGATGACATAAGAAAGGCTTCAAAAATAATCCTATTCAAATCACAAACTGTATTAGTGCTAACATGTTTATAACAGGGTTCTTATTTGGCAGTTCTTTCCACTGAAACTTATGAAAAACTCATTTCAAGTGATTTATTGAAACATTTACTATAGATTTGAAAGGGACTTCATTGGAAAATCACTGAAAACTATGAGAATCGAAAAAGTTTTTAATTCTCTCCTATTACTTAACATCAGGATTCAAATGTTTGACCTGTAACGCATGTTCTCTGGTAACAAAGTTGGTTTCTAGATAATGAAACTCATTTTAATAACCAATCTAATTACTGATGACGGTGGAACTATTACACTGATAAAAGTTCGGAAAAGATCGATTAGTTAGGATTCTCGATTTGAAAATTCATGTCTCGAGAAAAAGAATACAATAATTTATAACAATTCTATCATTGAGTACCATAAAAATTTCCTACAACTTATTTACAAGATTATAAGCAAAGACAGATAGTGACTAGCAGAGGAATCCAACAAGTGCGTTTCGTCCTATTTGGAACTCGTCAGCTGGATGTACCTGCATCTCAGAGTTGATGTTCATTCTGGGACTCGGACCCAGTACCTTTCGCTTCAAATGCCATCGCGTTATTCACTCCGCCACTGAGCCCTGATAGCCACTTGCTTGTGTAATGGGGTGAAGTTTGAATTCACTTAGTATTGTTTGTTTGAATCTTCCCATTGTTTTTTAATACCTATACTATTTACATATCTTTCAAACATCAATACAGACTTTCCTCATCGTGATCCAATTAGAATGGAAGGTGATATGGGTACTGAATACAATTGTCTGTATACTACTAAAGAACTTACATGTAAAGATCGTGTTAGTGAGTTCAAACAAGTATTCTATTGTTTATTGTCATATACATATAAATTAATGTCTATCTAATATAACCTTTGATTGATATTTTGATGTTGAACTGTATTGTTCCACTTAATTACTTCAATTAATTCTTAGTGAATCTGTAACAAATATATACCCTGTAATTAGGTAATGATAATAAATAGTGACAAAATAACTAATTCGCTTATAAATTTTGTGTTTACATATCAAGGTACAACGAATAGAATTTTCAACAAAAAATGCAGTTGACTTTTTAGTTGAATTCATGGGCCAACTGGAGCTAGACCACCATGGAAAGCCTGGAAGCACTGGAGACATTGGTAGACGGTTGCTCAATTTCAAGGATTGGTTTAATACTGGATCAGTTGGACTGATAAGTCATGGATTCGAATCCCGCGAGCGGGATCGTGGATGCACACTGCTGAAGAGTCCCATACTATGAAGAAATGGCCGTCCAATGCTTCCAAGTTTTTCATGGTGGTCTAGTTTTAATTGATTCATGAATTCAACTATAAAGTTACTAAAATCTTCACAAAATCCCTTCTGACAATTGATTTTCTATAATTTTATTGAAAATAATAAACCATTTAATCAAATTACAACTTGATCGATTAAAATCAATACGATATTGATTATTGTATGTTGAACAATTAGTCCAGAACATTTAAATGCTCAGAAAAAAATCAATCACAGCTTGAATAACTCAATTGTAACAATGGATAAATTGATTTCAAACAGCATGAGTAATATCAATTTACTCATAACTATAGATACAACGCAATATTTATCTCTTCTTTTTGACTACCATCAATCATCTAATACTCAAATCTTTAAGTTATTAGATGTAATTAGTTCTTGTATTTAACTTTTCATATCAATTACACATACAAAATGTTCTCTTAGTTATGAATAAGTATGAGAAGAAATCCGAGAAATAAAAGAACAGACGATGAAACTTTATGAATAATGATAATAAGAACAACCAACAAAAAAGTTTTAACAAGTCTTAACACACTGATGAGAAGTTCCACAATAGAACGAAACGGTCATCCAATGCTTCCAGGTTTTCCATGGTGGTCTAGCTTTCATTGACTAATGATCTCAACTCTTGAAATAATTTTCTTCTTTAAAATATTGATCATAAAATGTTAAAACCCTCATTCAAAACAAGATATTGTAGTTAATATTGAAATCCATTATAACCAGTAAGGTAATACAGGGAGTTCATATTCTGACAACATAACTATCATAACTAACAATGTATTTATTCATCATATATATATATATATGTATATGTTCCCAGTGTTGATTTCTTACTTATCCTTAGCATAAATAATAATACTTTTTTTAGATACTACAGATACAAACTATTCAAATGGGTACTTTTATGTGGATCATTTGAATAACAAAAATGAAAATAAACACAGTGATGATAATTACAATAGTAATAATAATAATACTCATGAAGATTATAATCAAGGTAATGAATACCTATGAAAAGCTATGAATTAGTTCAGTCAACCATATGTATATAACTTTTTATTTTAAAAAAAGGAATCTGTATACCAAATATAGATTTGAAAATAATTCTAATCTCTAAGAGAAAATTGAATGGAGTTCTGATGTTTCCATAACATTACGATTCTATACACTAATATAACCTTCAATTGGCATTAATACTTAGTGTAGTACTTTCGGTTTGATTTACTTTACTAGGATTTCGAGAAATTCGTGTCAAACGTGTTATTATTATGTATTTAGATGTTTTATTGAGATCTGCATTGTTTTAAGATGATTTTTGATCATAAACTGGCTTTTGATGAAGATTTTACAATATTACGAGTAAGATAAAGTTAATGAAGTGAATCACTTAATTCCAGCTTAGTATCGTCTAGCTGTTATCGTTGACACAAATCTTAACTATTGCAATCAGGACTTTTTGTGGGATTACATATACTCACTGTTACGATGTCCAAGAAATGATCCTGTAATCCGTGATTTAGTTGCGTAAACTGTTCTTGAACTGACCTAATTTCTTTACAAAAATCGCAGTAAATTGTCATCTAACTTTATACAACAATCTTCAAACTACTTATTATTCACTTAACATTGACTATTGAATAAACCAAGAAAATCATAACAATTTATATGGTTCATACTTCTGTTTTGGCCAAACATATTAATGCTTGGTTGTTTCCCTTGAAAAACTTGAACCGGACTTCTTAGAGATACTTTGGATTCATTTTAATTCTAACCTCTGAGTGTTTTGCAAACAGTAGCCTTTCTATGTATTAACTTTGTAAAGAATGTTCTCTGCAGTTTCGATTTTTAACCACTGACAATGATTCAACATCTAAGCCGTCGAAAAATTCATGCACACATTTTTACATTGTCGATTTGTCTGACGTCATTAGCATTGGCACAGATAGCAATAGAGATTTATAATCAAAGCAGTAAAAATTTTCTACCGCATAATTATCAATGAAAAACTCAAATAATCGTCGTAATGAACATTAAAACTAAAATGGAATATTTTAAAACACAGAGGAAATAACTAAACAACCGACGAAATCACATAGAAATCATATAAGATAAAACATTGTATTACATTAGTATTCAATTCCGTAAATGTATGCATATAAGTAGAACCACTGGTATTAGAGAACTAGGTTCTACTTTATTACCTGTCTTTCTGAGCATTTCCTTTACATTCATATACTGTATGATTCTCAGATTTTACCAAAATATTCTATGATGGGTTACGTTCTCCAAGCCTGTGTTCTCATTCACTACTACATCAACCCTTTGTAAATTAGATAAAAGTGTGTTCATTTCCATTCAATGAATACAAATAAATATTGAGTTCTATAATTAGTTATAGTGAATATATGAAAACAAAATTCATATCATTTTGATACAGTTGTCGTTTTCGGATTATTGAAATTTCAAATTTTCAGGGTTTTTTAAATTAAAGGGTTTCCTGTTGACCACCTACAACCACCATCTTATCTCGACATAGTCCATGCAGTGTCGATTCACCTAGACTAATGTCCACATTGCAACTTGATCGATAACATTCGATCAGCACTCAGTGATCAATCAATTGTGACATTTCCATTTAATTAATACAAATAAATATTGAGATCTATAATAAGTTATAGTGAATGCATAAAAACAAAATTCATATCATTTTGATACAGTTGTTGTTTCCGGTTTATAGAAATTTCAGATTTTTAGTTGTGTTTTTTTTTAAATCAATGTCAAGAATTCTCTAATTAGTTTAGCTAATTAAATCAATGGTAAACATTTATAATTTACCATACTTTTTCTTAATGTTACACTATATTTTCATTCTTCTTTCATTGTCCATCTGATAGACCGTGACCCAATAACACTTCAAGGAGATTTAGGTGAAGAACTAGACATGTTTAGACCACATGGTAGTAGATCAAGAAATAAAATTGATCATAATATACATGTTTGTAAGTCCATAGTTTCCAACATAATTTCTCAAAAATACTTTAAATATTATTATATATATTACAGAATAATAATATTTAGCATAATGGTAATAGGTTTTTTTCATTTGCAACATGGTAGTTTAAACATTCCCTGACCATATACTTACATATAACCCTCTTCATGAGCTAGTTTATTTACAGGTTCTGAATTCATTTATTTAACCTGGATAGACTAACAGATTGTTCACAGTTTTAAAATTACTGATTATATATACTAAGAAATCTCACCGTTGATTACCTTTAAGCAAAATCATTTTTAGTGATCATAGTAAAACTTGATCATTCTCGATGTTCAACAACAGTTCATAGCGTCATTGAATCTACTTTTGCAATTAATTATGTACTGTTCACTCAATCAATTGACTTTGCTTTACTATTCAACAACCACAAATGAGTACAATTCTTGTAAATGAATACAAGTATACAAAACTCGCTTCTTTTAATCAAGTAATCTAAAATTTCTGAAATTTGATGATCTTAATTATATAATAGAGTTTATCAGTATAAACTATGATTTTTAGATATATCAATCAATGGTTCAAATGACTGTGACAAGGTGAAACATATTTGAACACCATGAAAAAGAAACTATTTTTCACAAGATCTCAAATATATCTCACTAATGAGTCCCAGTTAATATGAAATCTAGGTTCATGGTTCTTTGATGAATGCATTTAATCACAAATATATAGACAGATGTATATATACATAATGATATAAGCCGAAGCCTATGGTGGTGTTTTTCTAGTGCAAAAGCATGCTATCTATTTATCCCATAATATGTACATAAAGTGTACATGTTTATTTGGTATTTTGACAGTTATAATTAAGAAATGAATTTTGTCATTTATTTTTTTCCTTCAGCAAGGTCTGATTCTATCAGTGGTAAATGTGAATATAATGTAGAAAGCAATTCAGTAAATCACTACAATGAAAAACAATGTAACGAAGAGAATTCAAAAAGATATTCTTATCGTAAGTTATTACAAAGCTCTAATTTTAAAAAACCTAAAATAACAACTGTATCAAAGTGATATGGATTTAATTTTCATGTATTCACTATAACTTATTATAGATCATAATATTTATTTGTATTAATTAAATGGAAATGTCACAATTGATTGATCACTGGGTGATGATCAATGTCATGAGTGTCAAGTCCATCTTAGTGCTGGTCGAATGCTAACGATCAAGTTGCAATGTCGCCACTAGTCTAGGTGGATCGACACTGCATGAACTATGTTGAGATAAGATGGTGGTTTTAGATGGTCAACAGGAAACCCTCTCATTTAAAAAAACCTGAAAAATTTGAAATTCCAATAAACCGAAAACGACAACTGTATCAAAATGATATGAATTTTGTTTTTATGTATTCACTATAACTCATTATAGATCTCAATAATTATTTGTATTGATGAAATGGAAATGTACACATGTTTACTTAATTTTCAAAGGGCTGATATAGTGAATGAGAACATAGGCTGGGGCAACCTTACCCATCACAGAATATTATGGTAAAATCTGATAACCATACAATATATACTTCATTTGCGAAATATCAATTAATTGTCTCAGGCTTTGTTGTTCCTTCAGTTCTCTATCAATCACTCTCTGCCCTCGCTATTTTCTCTTCAATTTTCTCAGACATCCCAATTTCGTTTGGTGATAAATACTACTTATATCTGTCGAAATCAGTAGTACACACCACATTATTAATTATGATGTTAAAAAAATCGAAATATGAAGGATAATTAAAAAGAAAACAAATGTAAACAAACTTATATAAAATAGTACAACACATTTTATTTCGTATCCTTATTTTCATTTTTTTTATATCAACTTATCTTCCATTCAACTAACTTTTTTTTATCCTTGTGGTTAACAATAACCATATTCATATCGTTGATTTCTCATTACTAGAAACTTCATTTCCTCCTCAACTTCCTCTCATTTCATTCATTAATCCAATAAATCATATGCTTGGTTAATGATTTTTCTTCACCTTTCGAATAATCTCTGTTTATTTCATTACTTTGATTGACTAATATAATGTTTATATATAGACTATAAAGCTATTCGACAAATTATGGATTTGCATCTCAGAGTTGATGTTCACTCTGGGACTCGAACCCAGTACCTTTCGCTTCAAACGCCATCACGTTCCCATCAAGTCCCAAATAGGACGAAACGCGCTTTCTGGATTCCACTGCTAGCTACTATCCATCTTTGCTTATAATACTTGTGAATTTAGGCTATATTGAGGCAATACGCACAGTATGCACATAAGCCAATAAGAGACTGATCAGTTGCAATTCAAAACATCAATGGGAAGATTCAAACAAACAATACTTAGTTGAATTTATTAGACAAATTATGTTTATAAATCTCTTATAGATTGAAATTCATTAACTTTACCAATCTGGTTGGTGCTTCTTCAAGTAAATAGTTCAAATTGAAGTCATTAAAGATAAATGAAATTTGTATGCAATTATCATTCAGTCATGTTCAAATGTTGATGTTGTTTGAGTCATTTATATAGTGGACCCTATATTACTATCGAATTTATAGTTTTGTGAAAATCTCCTCTTTTTCAAATAGTCAAAATAGCTTTAAAAGATAGTAATCCACAAGATAGATGTTAACATATGTTGTTCCTTTGAAACTGTTATATCTAGAGCCTTGATTCTTAATACGCCAGGGGATATAACACCTCCCCTTTTTGAGAAATCCGGAGTTGATATCCGGATTTTTAATTTCCTCGAATTCACCCTCCCCCACGAAAGACTGTTGGATCCTCATATAGCCAAGTTACTATTAATGCGATATGTTTGTCACATTTAACAGAGAAACCATTAGAACTGAAGAGATCATGAGGATCGACGACATTTGATTCGAGGTCACCAACATTTGATTCTTCTGAAATAGTTTCCTTGAATTTCCTCTGAACCTCATTAGTAGATAATGAATCATAATCAGTGGATTCTTGATTATCGTTTAATGCACCTGACATTTTTCTCTCATTTTTATAAGAGAATTCAACAGGAATATATGAATTATCAAAATAATCTAAATCTGGTAGAACAATTACAGAATTTTGATCATTAGATTCATTAGAAACATTTTTCGTATCATGATTAATTTCATTTGGCGCCTCTGTATTCAATACACTGCTCGATTTGTTTTCCGTTTCTTCATGGGCGGGTACTGCAGCAATTTTAATGGCGCTTAATAAGATATCGTCTCTCTGTGAACTGGACGATTCATTGCTCGCACGTTTTGTTTCAGGGTTAATAAGACTTGGACCGTGTACAGGGTATGTCTCTGAAACAGGTAGTACTGGGCTACTGGGCTGATCATGTATAACTGCTGCGCTTAAATTATTGCTTTGTATGGATTCATTGAGGCTTTCGCCGGCATATTCATTAGTTCTGTAATCGTTTTCCAGCTCTGTACACAATTTTGAAATTATTGCGTCGACTTCCGTTTTACCCCCAAAGCATGGATGATTCAGCAGCTTTGCGTGTAATTTGTCAATGAAATCCAATTGACTCTTTCTGAAGCGCTGCTCTTGTCGCTGGATTAGCAACTGAAATTGGTCGGAAGTTAAGGCCACTTTTTTAAATGCAAATAATAATAATAAATCCAAAAAAAACACCGGCAATTATTATGGATTATTTAATTCCAAAATGACGTCAGCGGCTGCTGTATTTTTTTTCCAGAATCCCCGTCGCCAATTGTTATATCTAGAGCCTTGATTCTTAATACGCCAGGGGATATAACAGAAACTGATATTTTTCTGTATAGAAATTTGTAAATTGAAAGGATTATTGAAAATTTAACTATTATATATTTTCTTAGTATTGTTTGTTTGAATCTTCCCACTGATGTTTACGACTGCTACTGGTCAGACTTTAAAAATTCACACTGACTTGACTTAAATTAGAATATATATTGTGAATTACAACATGTATAAGATTGTACGTTCACAAATAGGACAAGACAACTAGTCATTCTTCTCTAGATTTCTATAATCGCAATCTATGAAAAGGATTCGACTCAAAATATAATTAATAATCTTTATTATAAACTCTATCATAGTCTTCTTCCTCTTTGAGATGGTGGAGAAGATTTATAGTTCAGGTGGATGATTTTGATGGAGTTTTGTTCTCTGAGCTGGATGGTTAGGTCGTGGAGCTTTCATCATCCTTCTGAACGATATCATCAGCACAAACTTCAGGTAGAAGTGAAGTGTTTGAATTTCTCCAAATGTGGTTCATAGCTTGTCTTGTACACCTCGATGTTGATTGGTTCTTGTTGACCTTAAATCTGTCATTCTTTATTTCTTTGTTTTGGTTGTATCCCCCATTGGTTTGATTTTTGTTCCTATGTTTCTGCATAATTAGGAGAAATGTATCGATTTCGATAGATTAGTCTAATATTTGTTTATGGACACTTAATTATTCAATCTCTAAATGACATTATCCAGGTTCTCAGAAAATACAAAATGATAATAATAGTGGCCAACAGATAAACATCGATATAACAGTCACAAACTAGAAGTTTGCAAGGCATATATTTTTTGTTCAGAAAAAGATTGTTGAATGAAATAGAATGATACCATCGATACTGGAAGAACTTTTATAGTGTGAAACCAAAATGTATATATTTTTCATACTACTCACTAATCAAATAGTAGTACAGTTATATCTTCGAAATGTAAATCAATTATTTTCCCTTGATAATTTTCATTTACTAGGGCAGTACCTATACCTCACTTTTGTTACTATTTGGATAGATTTTATATCATTTTGTTTATCAGCAACTGTATGGAAAATTTCTGTCATCTACTTGATTCCATCAGATTTTCATAGATGACTGACATGTATTCTTTTTTATTTATAGTTGCTACAGATCCGATAACTCATTCACTGCCAGAAACAAAACTAGTCCGATCTCAGTCAGTACGACATTATAAAGAAGCATGGGGTAAGGTTTTCAACTTAAGACAGAACATTTTCATCAATTTTATATGGATGGTTTACTAATGAATTTTACAAAATGTGCCGGATTACTAACTGATTAATTGATTTCTGAAATCAATTCGGTTACTGTATTTTCAGTCGTTTTCAGGAGCATATAATTTTACTATTAACGAATAGTATACGCTTTTACCCAATATTCAGGTTATGAGTGGACAAATATAGCATTCACTGCCATAAATACCTTGGTATTTAGTTAAGTCAACGCCTTAAACAATGCGTAAAGTGTCTTAAGAATCTTTTTGTTCTAGTTTCAGAGTCTTCAAGCTATGGTTGCAGATACATTAATGAACCTATGAACAATATATTACAAATAACCCCCCCCCGTTACTAAATAATATTTTAAGTCATTCCAAATAAACCATGGCATTTTATCCTAATATGATGCTTGAGTCCTACTTACATAATACAGTTGTTTTCATAACAATCTTTGATAGAAATCATTAATACATTCTTAGTTCATTCTCAATAAAATCTTCGAAATGTGTTCGGAATTTTTCCATGTTACTATTAAGACAAAATGTGCTTTGTCGATAGTAGACTGCCTTCTTTTACTGAGAATCATTATTAGACAGATTATTAAATGAATCAAAATAATAATATATCTGAAATTCATTTTGAAATCATTCAAAGCTTCACCAAAAAACAGAAAAGCAATCAAAAAATTTATCTTATTTCAGTAGTATACACCCACATCATGAAACTATGTAATTACAATAACTGAGAAGTGTATTTGATTTTTTTCTACATGGTACGTGGTAAAAAGTCACTACGTCTCAATTCTCCTCTCCAAAATCTTTTTCGACAAAAACCAATAAGCCTACATTACATTAAATTGATTCTGATTTCTGATAGATAACATCTGGTCTCATTTTATACTTGACCCGTTAAATAACAAAGTATACATTGAGTGAATATCCTAAATTTATTTGACTATCCGAAATACAAGCCCTAATATGATGGAACAGATAATATAACTTGAAGAAAGGTGACACCCGTTTATGTTTGTCAATTGTAAGGACGGCTCATTGGTAAACTCTAGGAAGCCTCAAGAAACCCAGAAAGAGCCGAAGATATTCCATCCAATCACTGCCAGGGGGATATTCTAGAACGTCGACGTGTAGATGGATAAGAATAACCCCCTATGTGCCTATTGGTTGTCCGAAATGATGATTTACTCAGTCAAAAACTATAAATACATGAGATTTCTGTACTATATTTTGACACTGTTTTGGGGAATAAAGTTCCTACTTATTAGTCGTCTGTCGTTCAAGTAGTCTAGTAGTACGCGGCAAAGCAAGAATCAAAGCTCTAGATATAACATCAATAAAAAGGTTTTCAGTTTACAATTAGTTTATCGACAAGACAAAATGAATCAATGAAAATATGAATTAGAGACTGACCAGTTGCAGTGCTAAACATCAATGGGAAGATTCAAACAAACAATACTAAGTGAATTTGAATTTCCTTCTGTTTTAAATATCTCAGTGACATTACTATGACTCTAAGGAAGATCTTTTACGCGCATTCTATTGTTGTTACTCGAAATGAAATGGAAGAAAATTCCAGAATACTGTACTATATTAATTGACTTATTCTTTGTCAATACTTTACCAGTACGCTTCACTTCCAATTCACTGATTAGTATATTATGTTGCATTGCTTTCTCTTCAACTAATATAATGTTAAAATTCAATTGAAAATGCACAAGTCGTGAATAGTGTAACAGAAATTGAGTTTTAAAACAAAGTTTTCTATAATTACTTGAAATACAATGAATCCATCGTACTTATCAAATACTTTCGTCCTTACCTTATTTATCAGTAGAATGCCCTAGAGAAATATAGTATAGTAAATAACAGATTCTTGGTAATATACAAATATTTAGAAATATGATGTAAAGTACGCTGTAAATAGTTAGGGGCCATATACAGTCTCCAAATATTAGTGAATAGATCTATTGAATACAGCCACAGGTTATATAGCATAACCCCAGTTTGTCCTCTTATATTCTTTATTAATCTTTCTGGTATGTACATCAAAAAACATAGCGTCATATAAGCAAAGATGGATAGTGGCTAGCAGTGGAATCGAACACGCGCGTTTTGTCCTATTTGGGACTCGTCAGCTGGATGTACCTGCATCTCACAGTTGATGTTCACTCTGAGTTTCGAACCCAGTAACTTTCGCTTCAAACGCCATCGCGTTATCCACTCGGCTACTGAGTCCTGATAGCCACTTGCTTGTGCAATGGGGTGAATTTGAATTTTACTTAGTATTGTTCGTTTGAATCTTCCCATTGATGTTTTTAGGACTGCAACTGGTAAATCTCTAATTGGCAACTGTGAGATGCAGGTACATCCAGCTGACGAGTTCCAAATAGGACGAAACGCGCGTCCTGGATTCCACTGCTAGCCACTATCCATATTTGCTTACCATGCTTGTGAATTTAGGCTATATCGAGGCAATACGCACAGTATGCACATATGCCATTTAGAGGCTGACCAGTTGAAGTCCTAAAAACATCAATAGGAAGATTCAAACAAACAATAAAAAGTAAATAGCGTGATATAGTTTAAATTAATCAGTAATCTTATACAGTTTGAGAATAAGGTTCAGAGATATTTAACAACTGCCCTCATACAATTAGTGACTGGAGTAATCCGTTATGATAGACCATTACATAACTTCATATGAGTTCTTTGATGCGAGAATTTATGGTCAACTCTTAAAACCAAATAAACACACCAGTTATTGCTTGTTAGTTGCTTCCTTTACGTAATCTAAATGTTGAAAACTTACTATTGAGACAGAAAAAGTAATTAATGACAAACTTAAGTGGAAACATTACCAGGTAAAGAATTCAGTTACCAGCTGTTAATTATTTTACATTCAGAAAATATGCCCTCTCTGAAATTAGATAAATTACACTAGCTGAGTTGATACTTAGTAAATAACGAATATTAATTTCCTGTATAATGTTTTCATGTTTGTTCTTTCATCCTAACATGATAAATGTTTGAATATATTTCAGCTACACATGATCCAATCGGTTATATGCACAGAACTGGTACATCATATAAGACGGATAAAGTTCGAGGAATGAAACATTTTCCAAGCAATAAAAGTATGTTTTAAATAAAATTTCATTATTACGTAATCGAATGTTACAATTTTTATATCTTCAAAAAGAATCATTGTCAATTCATTTAAACGTAAATAAGTAGGATAATTTCCATAAGAGGTATTTCCTGGAATTCTAGTGAGAAGCAGTGACCAGTGGAGTCCAACCAGGTCTGTTGGGAGATATCAACTCACTGAAGACATTGGTGAATGGTTGCTCAGTTTCGTGGATTGGTTGAAGCTAGACATTAAAACCGTTGGATGCCGGCTCAGTGGTCTATCGGTTGAGTGCTCCGGTGCGAGACTGATAGGTCCAGGGTTCGAAACTCGCGAGACGGGATCGTGGATGCGCACTGCTGAGGAATCCCACAACAGGACGAAACGGCCGTCCAGTGCTTCCAGGTTTTCCCTAGTGGTGTAGCTTCAGTTAACTCGTGATCTCGACTATATAAAATTTCCATATAAAAACACTATTAAAATCATATCAGTTATGGGCTTTAAACTCATAGTTGATTATTGTGTTCTTTTTTCTAACCGAAAGAAAGTACCTCGATGTTTGGTGGTTGGAATCAATCGATAGGAAGATTTAAAACTAGATTTTGGAGTAAATAACACCCATCCGAAAGGTATATCTGCAAGATGAATAGTTTAATATCACCATCTCTATCTACAACACTTGGTAACACTAATATAAATCCATCAGGGTTGGCTTAATCTCTTCAAGATTACAGATATACCTTACTGAAATTTGTCAACTAGCCTGGTATAAAACTCCTGAGGATTCTATCAGTTGTCTTCAAGCACTTACAATCTAACAAAGAGAATCTCAATGAAAAATTATTCCTTCAAAATTATTTGAGACTTGATATCGTGTAAACTAATTTTATTGTTAATAATGATTCAGAGGTTATCTGAAAAAAGCTGTGATTGTAGGTTTTGTGTTGATTTGCACTCGTCATCAATGTATATCTGCACTCTGGAGGAAACCGATGTTCATCAGTAGAGTTTGAGCCCAAACCCCTCTCATAGTTATAGTCAGACATGTTATCGCTGAACTATTTGAGTGCACCAAAGTGTATATACGTTGTGAAGAAAGTGAGTTCTCAGTCCATTTTGTACATCCGAAACTTATTTTCAAATAAAAGAAACTAGCTTATATTTTAATAATACTGTAAGCTTGTAACGTAAAATTGTCCAAAATATACAACTTTGAACTATAACTCGATTGGATATCATGATCACTGTTTCTGTTTATTTTTAAGCAATATGCTTAACAAACTATCAGGTTAACTTCAAGTTCTACATTGATGTTAAACAGTTATGCAAACTACAATTTACTATTTTCTGTAGATAGTGATGATCCCGTGACCCATCGATTATCAATTAATCATCATCGGCAGCAGCATCGTCCCCAGTTGACATATACTGCCTCAAAATCTAGATTCAATACCCTGAGAGGTATGTTTGAGAAATTCAGGTCAGAATATAGCTAACCAAAACGCCAGTGTCAGCATATCACCTTTGCCTCATAAAAGCTTTCATACTTCGTTAACCAGTTCTGTTTAAAATTCAAATGTTTAGTTGTTAATGTATTTAATCCAGTGAATTGATTATGACATTCGACCTTGAATAATAATGAAAATAATCACTAAGTACTCTAAGCATATGTATATACATATTTTTCTTCTCACCTAGTATTACTTGTTTGAATCTTCCTATTGATGTTTAGGACTGCAACTGGTCAGTCTCACTCGATTGCACAAGCAAGTGGCTATCAGGACTCAGTAGATGAGTGGATAACGAGATGGCGTTTGAAGCGAAAGTTACTGAGGTCGAGTCTCAGAGTGAACATCAACTCTGAGATACAGGTACATCCAGCTGACAAGTCCCAAATAGGACGAAACGCGCGTCCTGGATTCCACTGCTAGCCACTATCCATCTCTGCTTACATATTTTTCTTCTGTTATATACTCTAAGTAAAAATAATTTTGCTTTGTGGTGCGTTTCCTAATCAACATTAATAAGTACTTAATTAGACATCACAAGAAGTTTGCAAAACAAACTAACTTTCTCATCGTTTCCTACAGAACGATAAAAGTGTCACTAATGACATCAAACTTATGTGGAAAGATTATTTTCTAACTTAATCTAACACTTAAACCTCGTTAGTTGATCATTTTTCAGGTTTTTTTATCTTTTAAGAAATTGTTGCTACTTAACAAAATATGCTAATTTTCCAATATGAGTAGTATGAATTCAAACAATTTCGACTATCATACATAAACAATTAGCTTAAATTGAAATCTCCATAAAAATCAAAGTAGCATATGTTATGTGGAACATTCATATATTTTAGGAGAAATCTAAGCGTTATTTTAAGAGGCCTCTGTTATGTCGACAAAGAGGTACTTCTTGAAAAATGGTTCATTTGTTAATTCATTAGTCTGATTTCTTTTAGTGAATAAAATCATTAGCTTAAACTTCTGTTTACTCTCTACTGTTACAATATCAGTTAATAGCTGTTGACTAGTGTATTGTTCCCAGGATCACCCCATGTGTAATAGGTCATCTTGTGTGAGAGAAAAATAGTAAATTAACACTGAAATAAAGCGACCATTCCGAAATCTGATTAATGAAACATTTGAAGTACAGAATCATCTGAAGATAAGGTTGCTTTGCATCCCCTTCCTATGTAATGGCATATAGTTTAAATTGGTACGTCACTATATATATACGTCAGTTCCATGAAATAATATTACATGAAGATCATTATATTTCACTAAAGGGACAACTTAATACGCTAAAGTTGACTTAAGATCTAATTAACAACCACGTATGATGGGTCATCTAGAAAAGGAGACCAGAGAATTCTAATTCAAAACATTTTCAAAGCAGCCTTCCATTACGGACTAACATAAGCCTAGGGAACAAAGAAAACTAGACAAAAGTGAACTGCTTTGTCATCTTGATTTTGGATTTCTTATGAATGTACATTCATCAACTAACAAGTGATTCGAAAAAAAATCATCACTAACTCTGAGTCGGAACCCAGTGGTACATACATTTTAACTACATTTAACTAATGATATAACAAATATCACTTATCAGAAGGGGGGTTCTGTGGAGATTTAGTATTTTCATAGTTGAAAGCGTGAGTGTGGGATCGTGGATGCGCACTGATGAGGAGGCCCATAATAGGACGAAACGGCCGTCCAGTGCTTCCAGGTTTTCGATGGTGGTCTAGCTTCAATTGACTCACGCTTTCAACTATGAAAATATCACTTAGTTACTGCTTCTGTATCCAAATAAAATCGAATCACTGAGTGAGAATTTTGAATAACAAACACCAGGAGACATTGTGGTCCTTATCAACGTATCATTTGAAACATTTTAAGCCATACGTGTAAGTGTGTCAAAATCTAGACAATTTGTGATGACTGAAAGTCAATTGCATTTTCGTTAGTACAAATATAAGAAATTATAATCAAACGAATGATTATCACCATAGTGATTATTAAAATTCTTTTACAGAAAACAGAAGAGTGACCTTAAATGACTAGTTAAATTCTGTTATACAATTAAATTAGACCATTAATAAGTGTACCATATACAAAAGTAATCTAGTTTCGGAAAAAATTTTTATTTTCTATAAGTGAATTACATAGATTTTCAATGTAATTTATTGATAAAGTACACTTTTGTGTACTCAGCTTTCAATTGTAATTTTATGTAAAGTCACAAATGGAAGTAAGAAATGAATAAATAAATGTATAAAGAGAAACTCTCAGGTTGCTTCTTACTGACTGATATGACATGTCAACTCAGTTGACTAAATTATTCTGTTTTCTGGATGAATAAGTATAGGTATGTGGGTTTGTGGGGATTGATGAATGTTACTAAGATTACAAACCTACCAAAGTTAGATAGCCACCGAAAACCAGGAAACACTAAACATTTGTTTCATTTCAGTATAAAAAAAACCCAGTAATATGCATGCACGATCGCAACACGGACCAGATCCAGGACCTTTAGGCCTCACAGTAATGTCCAGAGTTGATTGAAGTTAGATATGAGAACTACTAAATCCCGACTCAGTGGTCTTAATTTTAAGCTCTCCTCAGTAGACCCGAAGGTTTCGGGTCTGGTCCTTGATAGGGTCATGAATGAATACTTCAGAAGAGTCCTACACTAGTTCTTTCTTGTTTTCAGTGGCTATCTAAATTTGATCTATTTGTGGTCTCAATTATCGACAAACTTCCACTACTTTTAGTAATGGACAATGTAGAATGTAAATCTAGTGACTGCATAACTATAAATTTATGTATGAATGTAAATATCAATTGAAAACGTACGTTTAGTAATCAAGAATTACCTTTTTTAACTATGATGCTCTAGTGAAAAAAGTGTTCGATTTAATTTACGTGACCTGTTAGAAATCATAAGTCCACAAACCAAGTAAACGTGAATTAGAAAAAAGAAACAAATTCTTATGATCACTTTGATTCATAACTGACTAGAACGATAAGTGGAGGACTAACAAGTACCACTAATTAGAGAAAAGCATAATCTGTTAATGCCTTAACCTTTGTGATATATATCTGTAATTGTACATGCATGTCTTTGTATGTTAACCCACCTTATGGTAATCATATTGATAAATTGTATTAACCAAGTCATTTTAGTATGAATATACACTTGATACACAACCTTTTATGTCTATGTATTAACAAAAATTTTAAACCATAAAAACCTATCAAAAATTGGTTAGACTAAAGTTTTCACATATTATATTGTTTAAATCAATCTTTATAATATTTCATTCTACCATTCTTATTCATTGATTCCTAAATAGTGACTTAATGATGATTGAATTCTATCTACAAAGTTCTAATGTAGTCATTGCCACCAAATGTCCTGGTACGGTCGAGAGTAAGGAGAGTCCGCTCTCCCTCTCCAAATGCTCTCACATGGCCACGCGTATACAGCCTCTGCCAGAGAAGTCCTACTCACTGCCTTCTCGTGGCGGAGGTTTTGTTCACGAAAGTGAGAGGACGAAAAGCCAATGTCCGGCGCTTTTACCGGTTTGGTGGACACTGCAAGTTCACCTAGGGCAGTTTCAAAACCCTGATTCCAAACCTATGGCGCACATGGGCTGACTCCAGTATCCTGAGGGAACTAATGGCGTATGAACCAATCGTTGGTCACCGGCTACCATGGGACTGCATCTCCTCACGATGCTCCACTGCCTTGTGGATCAGACTTTTACGTCAAAGGCTCGGGGAGTGGCTCCCTAAGAAAACCACCTGCTTCGGTTTGGTCACCAGGGAAGTATCACGGCCCTCACACAAATGAAAGGAGACTTATGCGGCGAATATGTATCTGGTGTCTTCTTGTACCAATATTTATGTGTTTAAATAATAATAATAATAATAATAATAATAATAATAATAATAATAATAATAACAATAATAATAATAATAATAATAATAATAATAATGTAGCCATTGTTCAAACGGACTAGATATCATGCCATTTATATTTTGTTTGGAGGCAATTATTATAAATCTGTAGATGTAGATTCCCTGACAGTTGGTATTATTGACTCTAACAGCTTTACGCACCCTACTAATGTAATATCAACACTATTCGTAGTCAGTCAGTCAGTTACAACGTAGAACTTCGTACGTACGTACATCAGTTTGAGTTGCCATACCGCATTAGCACAGAGATGCAGTTGTCGATTCAAATCCCATAGTGGTAGAAGTAGTAAGAGTATAAGTATTATGTGAAAGATAAGGGTTTGAAGATGTTATTGAAGGAGTATAATACGGTGAAATAAATTTGGAAAGAGAAAAAGGATAGGGACACGAAGAATTCAGAAGATTAGAATTTGGTAGAACATAAAGAGTGGATGCACCTTCGCCACTGCAAACGATTTCGAGCCATGTCACTCAAGGTCTCTAACCATCGGTTGCTATCATCTCGCGAATCCCAACCAGGTAGTCTACACCTACTAACATGGCCCAGTCCACTTGTCAGCGACTTTATGCATTTACGCTGTGTTTTGGTCTGGCCGCCCCTAGCTTTCTTGCAACCTACTCCTACACCATAAAGCATTGCACGTTGGGGCAGTCGGTGGTTGGGCATACGTAACACGTGTCCCAGCCATCTCAACTGATGAAGTTTCACTACTTCATCAATCGATTTGTCATGCTTACCTGGTACCCGTTTCCTAACAACTGCATTACTTACCCGGTGGTCCCAGGATATACGAGCAATGCGTTGAAGACACCTATGATCGAACACTAGTAGCCTACGAATATCCTAGCTAAAGAAAGCCTGTTGTCCTATTTGGCACAACGTTCGGACATTAAAAGTTCCTATATGTAGTTTAGAGCGTGGTTTCAGGAGACCAGGAATAACGTTCCGCATACTTGAATCGTTTGCCCTAGCGGTGCAAGATGATAAAAGGACGTGGGAAGGGTTAGTCGTGGAGATAAGAGAGTTATTAGGTGTAGGAAGGATTTGAAAGTGACCAACTTGGTCTCGTGTGCTGTTACGGGTATGAGGGCTAATATCACTTCCCGGTTGCCCACACCGTGGAAGGGTATTTCTTCAGGGACCTGAAAAGAAGTTGAATTAGTGTTGGTCTTAACAACCTGGGAGTGTGACCGCAGTGCCCAAGGGACAACTGCTTGAGGCTGGTCACGCACGGCCTTTTTGTGGGGGATTTTTGACGTGTTAGCTCCGTTCTTCAAAGGACCTTACCGCCGGAGACGTATATCCGTGGGATAAGGCGAGATGTGCATTTTTAGGGTCGACCTTTTGTAACCCCACCCCTCCTTGTGGGAAGGCAGCATCGCTGTCATGATGGTTGTCTGAAGGAAACACCTTACTGCCGTCACACCTCTGTACAGTCAGCAGTACGACTTCGCCTTCGGACCTTGGGATTGTTGCTTTTAGTCTTATCGCTCTTCAACCGACCTGTCTGGCATGGTAGGATCTCGAGGAACAATTGTTCTAGCCAGCATAGCTCGACTGGTTCATCACGATAAGCAAGCCCGACCACCACGTCAAGGTAGCAGCAACGGTCGGGTGGATAGTGGCTAGCAGTGGAATCCAGGACGCGCATTTCGTCCTATTTGAGACTCGTCAGCTGGATGTACCTGCATCTCAGAGTTGATGTTCACTCTGGGACTCGAACCCAGTACCCTCGCTTCAGACGCCATCGTGTTATCCACTCAGCCACTGAGTCCTACTATTCGTAGCCATTACGTATAATAATATCAAATTAAAATTGAATCAATTTTGGACTTAATTGGGGGTTTTTCGCATAATTCGTTAAACAGGCATACAAAGAACACATTGGTTGAATTTAAAATAATTCTTCAAATCTCACTATTAACAGATATTTTAGCTCACCTAACAAGTGCAGACACTATTTACTCAATTGTCTGTGCAACAAATAGCGGTGCCACTGGAGAGAGGCTCAACTCTGATACCTGTTAAATAAAAATCGAGCGATTTAACCAGTAACTCACGACTTCATACCATGAATAAATATCTGCTGAGAAATCTAAATAGAACATTAGTTTCGACAAAATTTACACTAATTAAAAGCACTACTTTAATTTTGTTAACATTAAAAACTGTTAACCAGTGACGACTCAAACATTTAAATGCTAAGCCCTCGCCGCAAAATTGAAAAGTTTCGGTTAGATCCTCGGTAGAGTCGTAGATATGCACCACTAAGGAGTTCCGTGCTAAGACGTAGTAGCTTTTCAATGTTTCATGGTTTTCAGTGTTTATTTAATTAAGATCAATCTGGGCTGTAAACTATAAAAAATCGAATCGGTCAGTTCAAGCCAAGTAGGCATAACAAACGGACTAAAAGACACAGTCTAGAGAAGTAAACATAAAATACGTAAAACCTTTTATTGATCGTTACCTGTAAGGTGAATGTGAAAAACATAGTTGTCTGGAGTTTTCACAATATATTAGAAACGATGTAAAATGAATATATAAACAATGATATATTGGTAAATCGACCCGTATACTCTTACTAACCCTGACCTAACATGAACTTACAGTCAAGACATATAGACAAATATCAATAAGAACTATATTTTATCTCGTATAAACTTCCGAATTGATGGTTTTAATTCATTTTGATTATTATATCCTTATCCAGTAAATAATTATTTTGTATGAAAAAAAGGACTAAATGAATGCGCACTGCTGATGAGTTCCACAATGGGACGAAACGGTCGTCCGGTGCTTCCAGGTTTTCCATGATGGTCTAGCTTCGATTGACTCATGATCTCAACTATATAGAATGTTTGATTTGTTAACTGGACTTGGAATATGAACAATTACTTATTCGAAATAGGATTAGATGGATTTGTTTCATGGATGAAATTAATCATAATTCAGTAATTAGATGGCTGTTAATTTGTCATTGTATTTTAAAGTCTTATAGTCTAGTTTACAAAGAGCCTGTTTGGAAATATGAGGTCTATAAATTCGAACTTACATGGATTAGGACGGGAAAAGACGTGGTTGGAAGTCCTGTTTTTGTTTTTGGATAAACTAAAGACTAACATATTAACTGTTTTTAAGTAATCCTGAATGTTTTCTTCCCGCTTCAGTAATCATTCCTCCATAGTAATGATTCCTGAACAACTTTGCTAGTAACTAACAAAGCGTAGAAAGTCTACCACACAAAAATTAGAATAACTATAGTAATTTACATTGTTCCGTCTGGTGATTCCTGGAAGTGTGTCCAGTTTCATTATTGAAGTAGCATCCGCTAAGTTGGGACCAAAACAAAGACCTTCATGGTTGATGTTCAGTACAGTATCACATTTTCAACTTTGAACAATTAGTTTATATGTTTTGTAACTTGCGAATTAGTTAATTTCATAGGTCACAAATTCTCACAAGATAAACCTATCTAGAAGCTGTTAATCACGAATCACGTAATTACAAATGATAGTCAGTTAGGTGGTCTACGGACGCCTGCTCTATTTGAAGTTTTATGTATGTATTGCTTAGGAGTACCAGACTTTAGTGAAACAGCTTATCAGTGTTTATCAATTTCCTGTGATTCGGGTATTTCAAATCAGTGATGATTGAAGGTAAGGTTAGAAAAGTGAATAGCATTATGAAATGAGAAGACAAGTGTAAGTTGTAAATAAATTCTTAAATCTTACTTGAATTATATGGTTTTTAACACATGCATTCCATGCCAAGCCGCAGCTTAATCCAAGGTGTTGCCACATTTTTGTGCTCTACTGCTACCTAACATTGTATAATGACTGATGAAAAATTATATAACAATTGTCTTAAATAAAATGAATATTTTCCACATTCGAATTTATCGATTCAGCGAATACTAATCCGATTACACATCAACAGAAAAATATATCTTCCGATCAATCACCAATTGAATTGAACGATGAAACATCGACAATCGGAGACTTCAATGAAGTGACTATAGGCAATGTGTCTGCAGTTCCAGAGAATAGAAAATTACGAAGGGGTATGTTAATCGCAGCTGCAACATTATGTTACTAGAAGTATTTTAAGTAAACTAACACAATTGTTTTACTTTGTAAGGGCCTGAACTATCCCGTTGTTGTCGCAGAGACATCTAGATGACCAGCCACAATAACAACAGGATAATTCAAACCCCTAAAAGAAAGTTTATACCCGTTGTGTAAGCTAGGGCTTAGTACCTCAGTAGATTATACGTTAGAATTCAAGGTGAGCTCCAGTGTGAACGTCAATATTAGGGTGCAGGTAAATTGTTAGTTGACAAGTTCAAAAAGAATAAAATGTACTTCCTGTGTTTCATTTCTAGTCACAATCTATCTATTCTATAACACGAATGAGTTTTCCTTTATATTAAATTAAGTAATTTTGCCTATTTTTAGTTAGTTGTCTTCACTTGATGTCATTGTTTCGAAACACTAAGAAACCTTCTAAGCAAATGATTTATAAACTCTCAATCAAATAAGAACATTTGACAAATAAATGGCTAAATCTAAAGACTCACAACAACGTACGATAACATCCTACACACCCAACAATCTGAAATACTGTTGGGAGTAGGTTACATGCATAGATTATAAAATATTCATATATAAACAGAATTAGTGGTACTTTTTCTACTTATCATCATACATGTATATAAGTGAAATCGGTTTTAAAAAGTTATGGTGTGTGAAGTAAATATTTTCGGCAGTTTTAAGAGTATTTTCAGTATTAATTGCTAAAAACAGTTAATAGTCTGAGTTTTTTGAACATCAAATTAGTCAGTGAGTTTCAACAATTTAAGTGTTTAGCTGTAGTACAGTTGATCTTAAAATACCATTGACACTGTTACTTCTGAAGATACTGTGAAATTTAATAAACGACTTCATAACTACAATAAATTTAGCCAAATCTCATTCATATAATTAAAACAGTGTAAACCATCAGTAGTGTGCTAGGGATCCATTATTTCGATGCACCACGTCAAATATTTGTAAGGGTTTGTACTTTCTCGCTACTGATGCTATGAAGTCACAGTGTTGACAGCAACACTGGAATGCAGATGTATCCGTGTGATAAGTTTCAAATAGGACCAAATACTTTTCCTGGACCCCACTGCTAGTCACCATCCTACTTTGTAAAATACTTGTGACTAAATGGTAGTATCAAGGTAATCCGCTCAGGATCTCAATAGGAACCAATAAATTGTAGTTCCTAACACCAACAGAGGGGAAAATAAAACTCCTAACAAATAAAAGTCACATGCGTTACACAAGCTAGTGGTCACCTGGACTCAACAGCTCAAAGAATAACACATTAGTGTTTAAAAATAATGGTTCTAGGTTCACGTCTCAGTATGCTACCAAAACTCAGATCTAGATACAACCAGCTGACGAGTTTCGGATAGAACAAAAGACTTATCCTTGACTCCCCAGCTAGCCACTATCCAACTTTATCAACAGGCGAAATATCATGCTTGACACAATAAACTCATTATGAAAATAACCTACAGTATATATACATTGTAAAATCTTTAACGAAATATTTTAACAATCATCTAGGTCTTTTTTATGTTGGTTTGTTCTCTGAGCTGGATACCAAACCATCCAGCTCAGAGAACAAACCAACATAAAAATCACCCACCTGAGCTACAAATCTTCTCCACCATCTCAAAATCATCTAGGTCTATTGTAAATGAGGAAATACGATGAACTATGCTAATTCAACAGAAAATATAAAAAGTATAAATTAGTTGTTTATGACACATATAATATTCGCCATTTCAATTTGTTTAATTTAACTGTGGAACTAATTTTACTTTTTAGCTCTTCGAAATCCCATTACTGGTGAAGGAATGTGTGACAGTGATTATATTGACCTGCTTAAATTACCAAGTGAATATTACTTTCGAAGAAATCGAGACACTTTGTCGTCGACATTGAATATCCATCCACATTCACCACCAGTACAACCATCATCAACAACTACACCTTCAACTAATGCTGCTGTGTCTGTTAAAAAAGTACCTACTCAGAAAGATGCAAATTCTACGAGCAAACCGACTCCAAGTAAGCCAAGACATCAAACACCGCCGCCGCCATCGCAACCGACTTTGACACAACAACCACCGAAGCTAGAACCAAAAGTTGAAAAAAGCACCCCACAACCTATAGGTAAGTATACATACTTGAAGCTATTTCAAATACTGTATACTATTTTAAAGGATAATAATAAATGCATAATTTTTAGAATTTTAATGAATAGTTTGCATTGTCCTCTTAAACTAGATTTTAATTAATGGAATTTCCAATATCTCTATTACCACTAGCATGATTTTGTTACCCTGATTGATATTGTAGATTAGTAATCTGATATCGAATCACAGATCCATATCAATTATTTTTGTCTAAAAGGGGCACTTAGTGGTAATTTACGAATTTGTAAACAATTACAAATTAATTTTTAAATGCATGTCACTAAACAAATAGGTCATTTATTGATTTATATTTCATGGAAATTTGATGTCATGATAATTCGCAGTTAACTATTTTAAATAGGATCTGTTCTTTATGATCTCTCAACTTAAAATATTGATTTCTAAAGAAATTGTAATTGCATAAGTTAATTCGATCATTTCTGCTCTACATACTCAATACAAAATATAAATTTTAGTAGTTGAATTCATGAGTTAATTAAAGCTAGACCACCATGGAAAACCTGGAAGCACTGGATGGCCGTTTCATCCCAGTATGGGACTTCTCAGTAGTGTGCATCCTCGACCCTGCTCGCGGGATTCGGATCCAGGACCTATCGGTCTCGCGCGCGACCACTTAACCCCTAAGCCACTGAGTTGACACTCAGTGGTGTTAATGTCTAACTTTTCCTGGAGTTCTAGTGAGAAGCGGTGACCAGTGGAGTTCAAGTAGGTCGATTTGATTATAAATGTTATCGACTAATTTATATTGAAATGATTTTAATTAAATCACGCTATTGTGGACATAATTCCAACTTAAATTTAAAAGTAAACCAAAACAGACTGAAAATTTATAGAATCTCATTTATAAATTAAATACATTCAATTTTCCATATGTTATTTAATACTGAAAAAACAATGACAAGAGACTAATGGGGGGTTCATAATTTACCTGATAGATATCCGACAATATGGTTAATTATGAATCATACTATTTAAGTTAGCTGACATTTGGTTTCTACCATCTTATAGGCTTAATTAACTCAGAGAGCGTGAACCTATCTAGCCAGATATGACTGACAATTATCAACAGCACAAGTACCGACAGATCGGTGAGGATACCTCATCAAGACACCAAAGGATATCTGGTTAGCATTTTTTGGTTAGCGTTAAATAAGATAAAACAACAACCAAAAAACACTGAGATTATGTAGTGTGTAAATAGTCAGATAGTAAACATAAACAGGAAGGTGAAGAATAACAAGCAGACATGGGGTGAGGGAAAATGAATGGAACCACATTAAGTTATATCCGGTCAAGGAAGAGACTGAGATGGCGCGAATTCCTCCTGAGTACATGGGGTAATAGGTTTACCATAACTTCTGCTGCATGTAGGAGACAAGATCGAACCCCGTCAAGAAATGACGGAGGTATACGATAGAACACTTGAAATGATTTGGTCTCATCTACCACATGACCACCGCCAACCAGATGTGCCAAGATAGGCTTGTGTATTGTCCTTGTTTTTCCTTTTCCAAACCAAGCCGAGATGTTCACTCATTCGTAGGTCAAGCTGTTGTGACCTGCGTTGTTCGAAACTTGACACTGATACGCGCTAATCCCCTAAATGATAATGTAAGATCAGCTGATTAGAATATCATATTAACTTCCATCGTCAATCTATCATCCAAAACATGCCAATTGAATTGTATTTTTAGAAGTAAAGGTTTCTTACAAGCAATCTATAGTTCCAACTTATTTTTCCTTACATATGTGCTTCTCTGGAAAGCTTCTCCAGTAGCCTCTTTCCGTCAGCGTGCCATTGGTAAACTTCCCCCTTATGGTATCCTCTGTATAGATCTTTTCTCTTTTGCTTCTAAGACATCTAACCAGATTTCCTTTGCAACGGATGAGTGCGAAACTATGAAAGTGTAAATACCAACGGATAGAGTTCTTTCTGTCTCTGCTTCTGTTTAACGAGCGGTTACTCCGTCTACGTTGAGATTTACCGTCGTACTAATCAGTGGAATCGATTGCGAGGTATACACTGTTAAACTGATTTGAGGGTTATTCTCCAATAATATTCTGGTTTACTGTGTTGAATATGCCGTCGATGTGACGGCAGTTTATACCTGGTTTGTAAGTAACCTCGTTGGGATGGCCACTTCTTAGTTTCGCTAGAAAATTAGTTGAAATCGAACCTTAAGGTGAGACTATAGCTATTCTATTAATGTCTATTTCTAAAGACAAAAGAGACAATCATAGTACACTTTAAGAGCAATCCTTGAAGATCATCAGCAAAACTAATATTGAACTGTTTTTACTGACGCGTGAACTCGTTGTCTTGACCAGTGGTACATTGGTGAATAAAACTGACATTTATACCTCTGAAATATAACTTCTCTTTTTTTCAGAAAAGAAAGTTATCCGCCCAAAAAAAACCGAGATGCTAACTGAAAAACAACCAGTTAAAGAAAACAAACAGCCGGTCGGTAGTGTAACACAGTCACAGCCAATTACTGAGACACAATTGTCTACAAAAGAAGCGGAGCCACAAACACCGAAAATGGTTGCAGAACCACAGACACTAGAGACTGAAAAACAGAAAACACCGAAAGAAGTAACTAAGCCACAGACACCAAAAATCGAGAAACCGGAGGCACCAAAAGAAACTGTAAAACCACAGACACCAGAAACTGAAGAACCGCAAACGCCGAAGGGAGCTACAAATCCACAGAAACTAGAAGCTGAAATACCACAAGCACCGAAAGAAGTAGCTAAGCCACAAACACTGAAAACCGAAGAACTAAAAACGCCAAAAGAAATAGTAATTCCAGAGACATCAGGAGAGACTGCGGAACTACACACACCAGTAGAAACTCCGATAACTCCCGCTAGTCATACTTTAGAAGAGTCAACTGCCGAAACAAAGTCGGCCGGAAAGCCTGTACCGCAATCGTTGAGTGAAGAACTGGAGTTAGTCATCGGTGAATCCAAATCCCCGCAACCCCCAACGTCCTCATCAAACAACAAAATACGGGACGGGATGAGCGAGGACTTACACAGTCCCGCTGTCCAGTCCCCACCAACTAGTGAAGCGAATTCATTTGTGGACAAGATGCCACGCCTGTCTGACGCACAAACTTTGAAGAATGATCTTACGCCCAGACCATCTACAGAATTGCCAGAGACGGGAGAAGCATGAGTAACCTCGTGGAATAAATGTTCAACTGGCTTGGTAAATCTGATGGTTGCTGATTGGATTATTCTCACGTATTTAGTTGAAGAGAACTGTGCTTCTTTTAGCACGTTCCGTTCTCAATTTTCTTTTTAAGCTTAACCCCGGGTGATGGACGGTATTTTCGTTTATTATTTGATTCAGAAAATTTTAACTTTCGGCATAATGAGAATGGATCATGACTTTCGTGTAACGTTTCCGATATTTCGATATAATGATCAAACAAATCAGCAAACCAGATATATTTTGAAATTTTTAAAGTATATTCACTTACCGGTCCTTAACAGATATACTACACCACTTTAAAAATGTCCCTTACTAGACCTGTAGTTTGGTATCAAGCGTTGCCAAGCCACAAAAAAATCAGAGACCAGGAAAAACACCTTTCATTGAGAGTACGGGTAATTAAACTAGGATAGCACTTCAATGCTGAAATTTACACAGATATTAAATTTTTACGAAAGACAAACTAGTTCGTATGCAAGGTTATGTACCAAGCTATCGAAGTTGAGTAACCAACCTCGTACGGAAACACCGGGAAGTAGCCAGCCCCTACCCCGCTGAGATGATACATCAATTAGGATTTGGATGTAAATATCAGGCTGCAGTTGATATAGAACTCTAGTCGTTGCCGTCAGTTAGATTTTGTAAACCATGAAGTCATAGGACGATTATGGGCTAGGTTGTGTGGCGCTTTTGACCGAAAAACACGTAACAGGTATCCGTGACCCTCAAATGTCTACCAAAGCTAGCAAGTAAAGCAGATGAATTAACAAAACCCATGCTTCTTCAGATAACATAACCGAATTCGTGCATCCCCCTTACCGATTTGCACATGGCAATAGAAGCATATTTTGCAAGCTTAAATCCTCATAATATGTATTATTTCCTTGCACTGATCTGGTGTGTGGCTCGTAAGATGGAAGGGAATCACGATAGGACTTTTGGTGACCCTTAGGACAAACTTGAATACTAGGTCATACACTTCAGCGCTGAAATCAACGCTGCTGTAAATGAAGCAAAAACGAACTTCTGTGAAATATCGTTTTATTCTAAATGCATGCATGACAATGATAAAAATAGCTGTCTACTAAATATTTATGAATGTTGTTACATGTAACCCAACTTCCCTCAACTACGCAATGCACAACCCGTACACCTGAAAAGAACAAAATAGAGGTCGGGTTGAGGCAATAATATTTGATACATAATACATATAACAGCTTCAATTAAATTTATTATCAATTGGCCACTACATATATTACCTTATACTGGCCATCAAGTGTTGAACACCGAAAACTAGCAACCCCATAATCATTGGGAATCCGCCGGCCATGGAAACAGCGCCTTTATAACGCTTTGCTGGGTCTTTCAAAATAAAAAAAAGAAATGAATACATATATATATATTTCAATAAGTTGACGAAATAGAAACATACCATACCACCAACTTGTGTAACATGAAAGAAATATAGATGTGAACATTATTAACTAAGCTGCTCAGCGTTTATATTGACTGACTAACGTAAATATTTTGTTCCTGAATGCAATATATTTGTTACCAGGGAAACTTGTTTTCAGAGTTCAAACTCAAACCCCATCAACTCTTATCATACTCAACTTCAATCAGTCACGCGTTACCACAACCAGAAGCTTGTGTTCAAGTCAGATTCCTATCCGGAAAGAGCAAGTCACGGTGAATAAATAAACCGAAATTTTGTCTATCGGTTGTTTTGTGGATAATCTCACTCACGAAAGAATATTAAGCTGTTTGGAAAGCAGAGGAATGTGGAGACTACCATTTAGGACAACGGTTAAGGTTAACAATAGTTTCTGTGCCATTACCCTGAAATCTCTTCAAAATAGGGAGATTGGGTTCCCTTAAGGTGTACAAACTGTCAAGCTTAGATTTTAACCAACAATAAAGCACTTTAAACGAGGCAAGGCTTACCTCCGGTTGAATACCCCTGAAAGTATAGCAGGCGACCAAGAAGAAATACCGCACCACATGCAGTATACATCCGCTAGGTTTTAAATTATGAAAGAAATGGCGACATACCGGGTAACGCAAACCACCCACAAACAACGCCATGAGAAAAAAGGGGAGAACTTCTAGACTGGGAAAACAACATAAAACAACGTTTGACATACTAATTTTGATGACCCCTTTGGATGCAGTTAAATAATTTGTCTGTAGGGTGATACATTATAGGCAACTCAACATTGTGCTCTTTGCGAGCTTGCATTACTCGGCGGGCGAAGTAAAGGTTTAACCCGAATGCGCTTACACCCACTAGAATCACACCTCCATAATAACGGGGTAAGCATAGCGGGAGAGAGGTCAACGGAGGGGAAATATACTTTGACAACGACATTCTCACGAGTAACTACGCGCCACCAGATGTCCGCCGTTTCAATAATCAATGTGTCTTTGATATTTAAGCCTAAACTTAAAAATTGCTTTACTTTCCTGATTCAGTGTAAGGAAGCAGTTCCCTTTATTTAGAAACATCCAGAGAATGGTCATGGTTATCGATTAAAGTACAGATCATAAAATATTGTAGTATGTGAAAAGGTGGAAGAAGTTTATGTTTGAAATAAGTGGTTCAAAAATGGTTCTGCATGGAATAAAAAAGCTGTTGCTGAACGATCTTCCATATCTATCAACAGTGGATCAGCGATGCTTTCAGGTAGGAGCCTAGGTATATATAACGATAAAAAAGAAAAATATTGGTAAATTGTGGTAATATACTGTCATAAGTCCTTAAAAATATGTCACGTTTTCTACTAAAAGACTCCTGAGGAGTCACTCGGACCACCTCAGCTGGCAGTGAATTCCAAAGGTTGACTGTTCGTAAGGAGCCTTCTGTCAATTCTGTTATGTTTTATCTCTAATTTCTGGGTGTTAACTCTAATGTTTGTGTGTTGGCGTTGGACTTAAGTAGATATTTAAGAGAATACTCAGGAGTGTTGAGGATACTATAGTCAGTAGAAGGTCGTCTCTGAGACACCTATACTTCAAAAGGTAGACATTCAGTGATTTGAGGAGCTCTTCACAAGACTTCAATTTGAGTTGCCGAACTGATTTCGTGGCTCACCTTCGGATATAGTCCAGTATATTCTTATCATTTTAGAGTAAGGTAGTAAATACTACATTGCTGTGCTTCAAATAGGTTTAAATAAAACCTATGAAGACTAATTGAAAATGTAATCACAATTGATTGATCACTGGGAGGTGATCAACAGGAGGTCGGTCGAGGCCCGAATAGCTCAGTGGTAACGTCTCTGATTGTGAAGCTGAGTGACACGGAATCGAATCCGCCAGGGAGCATCAATTCCCTCAAGATTACAGGTACACCTTGCTGACGAGTGCCAAGTAGTACGAAACCCGGGTCCAGGGTTGACCACCTCCAACCACTATGTTACTAATTGGAAATGTGCACCGTCAAACTGGTCAGAAATGCACTTCAACTTTAGCAGCTCAAATCACGTTTGTCGCAGTTAGCGTAAGACCTTAGATCATCGGGTACTGAGACTCTCATTTTCATATTAGGATGTCTCTATAGTGAAGTTAATTTAGTTGTGTGAATGATCTGCAACTGATTACTTTACAATTTAAAGTGCTGAGAGTAAGTCCGTTGTTATTTGCTCAACTATGAAGTTGAGTTACACCCTCCTGAAGTGCCAGCTCATCATGTTGCTTGCAAACTCCCCTCTAAAGTTGCACGTCATCAGTGAAAAGTAATAAACCAGACGACACTTGCTGAAGAGGATCACTTATAAATTTAGAAAAGAAAAGGTCTTAGTACTGAACCCTGAGAGACCCCACTAGTACATTCCGTGTCCAGGAAAAAGTTGTGTTAACCCTTACCCTAAAAAGTCCTTTATTTAGATATTAAGTAAACCAATCAGTTCACGATTGATCCTATAGAAAGCTTTTAAGAAGTCAAGGGCACTTGTTCATCTGTCCATCGTGGTAAGCCAGTTGATCATACAAGATTGACCATTCCTAAGACCTTTCTGGTGAGACGAAGGGAAGTTTATGAATAATAACTAGTCACGAAGACCGTCGTATATCAGAAATTCTGCAATTTTTGAGAATAGAAGTGATGCCGCCCGATAGCTTGAAGCTTTACTGCGCCAGTGTTCTTTTATAGATGACGTAATATGAGCCAGCTTCCAAAATTTTTGTACCGTGCCTCGGCTTACTGGAGATGAAAACGTCACACTAAGTGATTTCTCCAAGATTGAAGCCATTTCTCTCAGTGTAGCAGAATGTGCCATATCCGGGACAGGAGAAATGTCCTTGTTTAGATGCTGAGGTTTCTGATACACCAGGTCAGAGGTCAGGATCACATCTGAGAGCCTTTTGTAGTTGCAAGCGAGGCTTTCGTCGATATACTTTGCACGGAATGGTTTAACCACCGTTCCACTAAAAGGTGGGCGGAGTCACTGTCATTGTTGGTAGGACTACTAAGACTTAACAACTGTAAAATTCCGGTTTCCATCTATCGAAGAGAGGCCGCATGACGGAATAAACTTTCCGGATTGAAGACAAATTAATTAACTAGCTTTATCCGATGATGACGCTTATCTTAACTTATTGCTTTTGTGCATTGGTCCCTTGCTAGTTTGAACTACCTATATTTGCTGTCCTCATTAGTTCGTTTGTATTCCGTCCAGTAGCCCGTTTTGTGTTTTGGCATTCGAAAGGTGTAATTTTTTTGGTTGTGCTTTGCCTGTAATTTCGTGGATTTTTCGGGAGACAGACTGTTTTGTAGCACACAAGATCGTGTGCAGTAAGTGCACATCGAGTTAATAGTGGACTTCTCAGTCCACTTTCTGTATGTTACTTTGTGAAGCTAACACATCCAAACGTTTGAAATTCCAACGTCTGTCGTTAATAGGATGTGTTAACCCCATCTCTGCCGATAAAATCGAAGGCTATGAGGGTGCGGTCACTTCTTCTCTGAGGATGCACGGCTACGAGGTTGTCATTTAGGAATTCTTCGCTTGTAAATATACAGTCTAAGTGTACGGCATCTGAATGTTTCCCTACCGACTTGATAATTTCAGTTTTTCGTATAGTTCTAAATGTTCAGTGAAGTTGAAGAACTGGGCTACAATAATGATATCATCTCCAATGTGCGTGTGTTCAGTGGAATTAACTTTGGTAAGATTGAAGTTTCTTAGAATCAGAATATGAGCGCATCCAAGACGAATATAGCGAGGTAATCCCTCCAGCATATGACTGTAGTACTCAGTTTCAGCGGTGGGCTTCCTGTAGATCACTCCAACCAAACACCTCGAAGTGTTAGACAACATTATTGATCACTATACAGATTTATCGAGATTGATAAACTCTTAACTGTACACCTTATGTGCTACCAAGCAAGATAGTAGGTACAGGGCTACTTTGCCCTCATTCCCTGTTTTTCTGTCGTTGCAAAACAAAAACATACCGAACACCTCTATCTCCTGATCCGTAATTTGAGATGTATATGTTTCAATTATTTCTATCGAATGAGTATTATTAGCGTTACTTAATTCACACGACTCATCCATTTTGTTCAGTAAATTTGTGGAACTCGCTTATAGGCAGTTAATAGTGTCGATTTGAAACGCTCGGGCCACCTCATTTTGTTTGTGTGAGTGAGCTTTATGTAAATGGACAGGCAACCTTTTCACGCAGGGTATCCCTTCTACATTGTCCCTTGATTTTGACAGTTCACAAGTGAAACATTCAGTTCCAGTTTGCTTCTATGCTTGATCTTTGCATCATATAGTCCGTCCGGATAAATGTAGACTTCAGTCGGTCACGGACATTTGTTGAAATGAAATATTTTGAGAGTGGCAGCCGCCGTTTGGGAGGATGGGGAGTTATCTTCATTACTCAGGGTTCAGAGTTCCCATCCTTCTTGGCTAACAACACCACTTCTTGGGTCAATATCCTCTTGGGTTTCAAAGACTGCTTTATGAAGTTCGCCTCTAGAATATCGTAATCTGTGTGGTCAGTGTTTATGTTTTCTGGTACAGCTTGCACAATAGTGTTTCTTCCACAAAGGAATGTCACGCAAGATTCCTTAGGGATATTCATGGTGAAACTTAGCTCGGAACATGGCATATCAAAAAGTATTCTCACATATCCCTTTGATTTCGCCAAATGACTGGACAGCAGAACATTCGTACTGTTGATGGACGTTGCACGAGAGAGTGCTAGGAATTCTCCTACAGGAAGATGTGTGTGACATTTAGTGGTTCAGTTTTAGGAAGTTTGAGGTTCCTGTTAAAATTTTCCCAAAGCATCTGGACGATTTTGTCCTGTGAACTGACAGGGAGGTCAGAGCTGTTTCTAACATTCGTAATTATGAGAGAATCAGCGTAAACCTTGATTGCTTTACCATGTTTTCGAGTACGTTGAGGTTGGAGTCCCTGTTTGGCAGTTAGATTACGACTCGGAACCCCGTACAATCTGTTATCTGGTTAGACAACCTTAAGAGTAGATGGCACGACCGATTCATTAACTTATTTTCTAGCGAAGTCTAGGATGTTGAACATTATCGATGGTGACCTTCGATTCTTTTTACTCTGTTAGTAGGAGTCGTGCCACATACGGTAGACGTTTTAGAGACCACAGTCGCATTGAGAGAGTCTGTGCTCAGCGGCACAAGTTTACTGTAAGAGACTGACACTGTCGATTTCACGGCGATGCTGAGTTTCAATATATTTCCACTAGTGTCGATGAATATTTCATGAATGCTAATGCTGTCAAAGACCCTCCACCTTATCACTCTGAATGCCCTTCTCGGTTTATCTGTTTTAGGACCTCCTTTTGGGGGTTACTGACAACTTTTTACACAGGCCTGTCAGAAAAATGTTGATGTGGCTCAGTGAATCTACAGCGTTCACGTCGAATGTGTCACGTAACTACTTGCGATCTGATTAACCTAGTCTGTTGCAAGCAGTTATTGTAAAGTCTGTGCATGCTTCGTGAAACCAAGCTTTGCATTTGTCACAACGCATACCACAGGGGACAGTAAAACAGAATCCACGCCACTTATATGTGCGTCCTAATGACTATGGTGCAATATTAACCGCTAAATAAATCTTAGCAAGAGTTTACGACCGCGTGAAAAAGAAATATCTTAAAAACTGATATAACGAATAAAAACGGGTAGTGTCAAAAGTTAAGACATAACGAAAACAGCCTCGACGTGAAAACCGTAAAAACTAAATAGAAACCTGAAACAAAACCACAGTTAGGTATTACCTTAATAAGATTTAAAAGGAAAAGTAATCTAACGAATTTTAAACATAGGACAGATTCCTTAGATCAAAGATAGCGTTTTTGTTGCCTAAGGCCATCTCAAATGTTTGAGAAATGTAAATCTCGTTAGGACCGAATTTCTCGCTACTAGGCTCTCCCTTATGTCCACGCCGTTTTAAGA